CTATGGATGCTGTTTATTCTGTCACATATGGATCTCTTGGCTTGCGTGTACCTAGCTTAGGACTTTTGCCTGTTGCTAGTGTAGGTACTTGTGATTTTAGTGTAGGTGCTTGTGTAGTCAATTGTCCAGCCGTGACGACTGCTGTCGTGTCGCTCTCCTTCACGCTGGACTCAGGCGCGTCTCAGTGCTTCTTTGACGACCACACCTCTGTCACACCTCTGTCACACCTCTTTCGGCTCCAGTCCCAGTTGCCCTGGCTGATCTTACTTCAGGACCAGCAGTCGCTCGCAGCTCGACCACTCTCCCGTGCCCGGCTGTCCTTCCTGGTTTCCTCACTGGTCTCTACATCCCCTCGTTCTCTCGGAACTTGGTGGGTGTTGGATACCTTCAGGACCATGGGATCACAGTCACTATTCCTGCGCACGGGAGGACGGCGATCTGTACGGCTGCTTCCACCGGGGCACTTCTTGCCACGTTCACCAGGGAGCCCCACTCAGGTCTCTTCGTTCTGCACACTGCGTCCCATCAGGTAGCAGAGTCCAGCCAGGTTACTGCGTCCCCCCAGGTAGCAGAGTCCGGTCAGGTTACTGCGTCCCCTCTGGTTGCTGTGTCTAGTCAGGTTGCTGCGTCTGGTCTGGTTGCTGCGTCTTGCTCCTTTCGGTCTCTCGCCCACCCGACCGTCTTGCGACACCGCCGTCTTGGCCACCCGTCGATCCCCCGCCTCCGCAGCATGGCTAGTCACCGTCTTGTCTCGGGTCTCCCTCGCGTCTTTACGTCGCTCCTGAGAGGGAGCGCTACTTTCTGGTGGTCGTCGACGACTACTCCAGGTACACCACAGTGTTTCCTCTCGCGAAGAAGTCCGAGGTGACTTCTACGCTGATCCGATGGCTTCTGGCCACTGAGGGCACTCGTGGCAGTCGTGTCTCCTGTCTCTACTTCGACCGTGGGGGCGAGTTTTCCTCCGGCGGATTCTGCGGCGAACAAGGCATCTCACAGTCTTGGACGCTTTCAGAGTCCCCACAGCAGAATGGGGTTGCTGAGCGCTGCATTGGCTTGGTCACGGACATCGCCCGCACGTCCATGATCCATGTATGTGCGCACCCTTTTCTGTGGCCCTACGCGGTTCGCTACGCCGCCCACCTGCTGAACCTCCAGCCGCGTGTCTCGCGGCCAGAGGCTTCACCGACCAGTTTGTGGACCGGGTCCCCTGATGTTGGGTCGGCCTTTCGTGTCTTGGGCTGTCTTGCGCTTGTCCGCGACACCTCTGTGGACAAGCTCTCGGCTCGCGCCATCCCCTGTGTTTTCCTTGGTTTCCTAGTGGACTCTCCCGACTACGCCTTTTACCACCCGCCCCTCCACCAGTTCCTAGACTCCCGTGATGTCCGGTTTGACGAGTCAGTGTCCTACTACGCTCGCTACCTCTGTCGAGGTCTCCTGGTTCCCGCTCCTCCCTTTTTCCTCGCACCCTCTCCTCAACCTGCTCCCGCTCCTTCGGTATCCCCGCCCCCCCTTGGTCTTGCCCTGTCAGGTGTGTCTCACGCTACCCCTCTACCCTCGGTCGCGCGTCAGGTAGCGTCTCCCTCCCCACAGTCCTCCTCACACTCCCCTCAGTAGCCTTCGGCACTTCCACGACAGGTTCCTGTTAACTCTGGGGGTGTTGGAGCTGGAGGTGCTGCCACTGGAGGTACTCGTTCAGGGGGTGCTCTTTTGAGGGGTGAGTTGGAGGTGCTGGCACTGGAGGTGCTAGTTTGGGGGGTGCTGGAGCTGGAGGTGCTGGCGCTGGAGGTGCTAGTTTTGGGGGTGTTGGAGCTGGAGGTGCTGGCGCTGGAGGTGCTAATTCTGGGGGTGCTGGAGCTGGAGGTGCTGGCGGTGGAGGTGCTAGTTCTGGAGGTGCTGGAGCAGGAGGTACTGGCAAGGGAGGTGCTAGTTCCGAGGAGACTGGAGCTGAAGGCACTACTACTGCGCCTCCCCACCGCCACGACACACGTCTCCAGGCGGCTCGCCGACGTGAGCGTGAGGATCAGGAGCGGTTGGAGCAGGAGAGGCAGGAGTTGCGGCAGTTGGACTTGCAGGAGCAGCAGGAGCAGCAGCAGCTGCTGTAGCAGAGTTCGCCGCAACCGCCACTTTTGCAGCAGCTGTTCCCACCAATGAGTGGCCTTCCGGTTCTTGGTCTTCCCTCCGCTCCTCCTGTCCACTCACAGTCTCCTACCGCGTACGGCCCTAAGTTTCCTCCTCCGGACTCGACTCCGGCTGTTTTCTCTCCTCCTTAGTCACAGTCGCCTCCTCCTATTCTCCCGCACGACTGGACTACTCGTTGTCCTCCGCGTGCTCGACCCTCGTCTCTTTTTGACGACGTCCGCACTGTCTTGTTTCGTTCTAGTCCTCGTCGTGCTCCGCCTGTGTCTGTTCTCCCGCTACCTCCTGCGTCGACTCTGACTGTCTCCTCTCACCCTATCACTAATTACTACCGTGCTGCTCGTCTTGTTGTCTCACGTGTTCTCGCCTCTCTTGTCACCAACCCTCATGCCTCTCCGTCGTCTGTCTCGGCTCTTACTGCCGCTGTAGCCGACTTTGCTTCCATCCGCCGCCTTGACTTTGCCACGCATGTAGTGGCTGCTCCGCCTGCCCGTCCTCTGTCCGCCTGGGGTGAGTTTGCCCTTGGCTGTGACGTCCTAAAGGGCAGGCAGTTTGAGCTGGAGTTCTTGGCATCCGCTTCTCCCTCTCTCTGTGCCATGCTGTTTTCCCCTGAGGGAGACCCCGACGCCCTTGACATACCGACACCTCGCACGTACCGTGAGGTAGTGTCAGGGGAGTGGGCCTCTAAGTGGAAAGTGGCTATGAACTCAGAGTTAGCATCTTGGAGATCCACAGGCACCTACGTCGACGTAGTTCCCCCTCCCAGGGCGAACGTAGTCGACGGCATGTGGCTCTTCAAGGTGAAGCGGCCGCCTGGATCAACTCCTGTGTTCAAGGCGCGCTATGTGGCTAGCGGTTTCAGTCAGCGTGAGGGAGTTGACTTCTTCCAGACCTTCGCCCCGACATCAAATATGACTACTCTTCGGGTGTTACTGCACGTAGCAGCACATTGAGACTACGAGCTGCACTCCCTCGACTTCTCCGCTGCGTTTCTCTAGGGCCGCCTACACGAGGAGATCTGGCTGCGGCGTCCTCCTGGCTTCACTGACACCTTCCCACCTGGGACCCAGTGGAGACTGAGGCGACCAGTCTACGGTCTCTGCCAGTCGCCCCGTGAGTGGCACGACACTCTTCGCTCCACACTTCGTGACCTTGGGTTTCGTCCTTCTTCCGCCAACCCGTCGTTGTTTGTTCGTGCTGGTTCCACTCCTTTCTTTATACTAGTTTACGTCGACGACTTGGTCTTTGCTACAGCAGACAGGGCAGCTCTGGCTGAGGTGAAGTCCGCACCGCAGAAGAGACACACGTGCACTGACCTCGGTGAACTGTAACGCTACCTTGGCCTGCAGATCACCAGGGACAGAGCCGCTCGCACCATCACGTTGACGCAGTCACACATGGTGTAGAAGGTCCTTCGGCGATTCGAGTTTCAGTTCTCCACCACCCAGCCCACTCCTCTTGCTGTTGACCACAGACTCACTGGCCCCTTTCCCGATGAGCCCTTTGAGTCTAGTGGTCCCTACGCAGAGCTTGTGGGCTACCTCATGTACCTGATGACTTGTACTCGGTCGGACCTCGCCTTTCCTCTCAGCGTCCTCTCTCACTTTGTTGCGACTGGGAGACACCGTCATGTTCACTGGACAGCTGTTGTGAGGGTGGCGAAGTACCTGGCGACTACATTAGGCATGGGGCTTGTGCTTGGAGGGACTTAGCCAATTGAGTTGACCGGTCCCTGCGACTCTTCCTACGCTGACGACGCTGAGACTTAGCGTTCGACTCAGGGTTAATGGTTCAGTCTGGGTGCTGGTGCTGTGTCGTGGAGGTCTACACGGTCGTCGTCTGTGGCTTCGTCCAGTGCGGAGGCAGAGATCTACGCTGGTGCCATGGCGGCACAGGAGCTTCGCTGGTTGACCTTCTTGCTCGCCGACCTTGGTGAGCGGCCTCGCTCTACACCGACCTTGTACGCTGACAACAAGGCCATGATCCTCTTGTGTCGAGAGCCTCGACTGGAGAGCAGAATGAAGCACATTGATGTGAGGTACTTTCTCCTGCGAGAGTTGCAGCAACGCGGCCAGGCACGCTTGGACTTTGTGGCCTCATGGGCCAACACTGCCAACGTCTTCACCAAGGCTTTGGCTCCTGGTGACCACCATATCCTAATGAACTCTTGAACTGGCCTTGTGGCCTCTTGTTTGTGCTCGGAGTGTGTGGTGACTCTGAGCGCCACCCTGAGCTTTGTTGTTGCTGCTTGTTCTTGACTGGTCTTGTGACCTTGTTTTGCTTGCTAGTCTTTGGGTACCCCTCACTTAGCCTATGGGGGTGTATCAAATGCATATAATTGTTATAGGCTGGAGTGAGGTACTCCCTAGAGAGTACAACTCAGTTAGGGTTGCTACTTGTATTGCTTCTCAACCCTAATGCAAACATTCCGTTGCTTATTAGGGTTGAGAAGCAATAGGTGCGGTATTTCCTCAACTGTGGGGACGACTGGGGTGTCGAGTCTGTCTCAAAACCAGACGGCGAAGAACGCACCAGAGAAGACAAAAATTTGAAAGACTTAACGCCAGGAAAAGTCCCCATGTGCACGAGGAAGGGTTCAGAAAACAGGCCACAACCACCTTCTCTTTCTCAGAGCCACCTCTCTGTCTCTCTCTCTCTCTCTTGGCCTGCAGCTGTGAGCACAGAACCAGCTGAGCCACATCAGCAGGCAGGTACCAGCAGTACATATCTATGGAAGAGCCTAGGCCACGGCCACCCGTTCTTCCTCTGCGCCACCTCTCTCCCTCTCCCCCTGCAGCTGAGAACAGAACTCCAGAATCAGCTGTGCCACGTCAGCAGGTACCAATACTTCTGTCTGGTAGAGCCTAGGCCACAGCCACCTTTTCTTCCTCTGCGCCGTCTCTCTCCCGCTCCCCCTGCAGCTGCGAGCAGAACTCCAGAATCAGCTGTGCCACGTCAGCAGGCCTCTCCACATGCGGAATATGCCCGCAGCCTTGAAGATGCACCACGTCCCTGCAGTCTGGTAGCTCTGCCTTGAAACGCTGTGGGGTGGAAACGGAAAACAAGGCTTGTAATTAATGGAGGTGGAAGGGATATGTCATTGCGAGTGTGGGGCGTGCCCGCAGCCCTGAAGATGCACCACGTCCCTGCAGTCTGGTAGCTCTGCCTTGAAGCGCTGCAAGGGGGAAAAAGGGCAAAGGAAACACGAGTGGTTGGGAAGGGGGTTGTGGTGTTGCGCCTCTCCACGTGGCGAATGTGCCTGCCTGCACTCCTGCAGCTGCACTATGCCCTGGCGGTCCAGCAGGTATGCATTGAAGTGCTGCAACAGGGAAGCGCATGGGTGAGTGTGTGCATGGTGTGCGTGAGTGAGTGAGCGTGTGGTGTGTGTGGGTGTGGTGGTGTGTCGGGTGAGTGAGTGTACGCATACCTCTGCCAGGCTCGGTTCAAGAATTTCATCCTCGCTCCCCCATACCACAAGGCATGGCTGTGACACCTGTACATGAACGTTCACATGCACACATCCACGTGCCCATGCCCATACCGATGGGATGCAACAAGGAAACGAATAGAAAAAGGAAGTTGGAGGCAAACACGCGAGAAAATGCATAGAAACATCACCTTATTAGACAGCGAATCAATGTAATCTACATGTAGAAAGTAGATTTTTGAGACGTCTCAAAAAGAAAATGCATAGAAACATCACCTTATTAGACAGCGAATCAATGTAATATACATGTAGAGAGTAGATTTTTGAGACGTCTCAAAAAGAAAATGCATAGAAACATCACCTTATTAGACAGCGAATCAATGTAATATACATGTAGAAAGTAGATTTTTGAGACGTCTCAAAAAGAAAATGCATAGAAACATCACCTTATTAGACAGCGAATCAATGTAATATACATGTAGAAAGTAGATTTTTGAGACGTCTCAAAAAGAAAATGCATAGAAACATCACCTTATTAGACAGCGAATCAATGTAATATACACATAACCTCGCTCCATATCTTGGACACGTGGTAACTGCATGAGGATATGACACTGGCGCCCATCCTTTGAATCAGCTATGCCTCTATATGGAAGGAACCCAAAGCATAATCAGACCTCACCTCACCCACTCTCTTGGACACGTGGTAACCACCGGAGTGCATGAAATTAACCACGGCGTCTGCCCAATCAGGCATTAAGCAGTGCAGGCAGTGCAGGCAGTGCAGGCAGTGCAGGCAGTGCAGGCAGGCAGCACGGTCAACAGCATCTCCATACCGTGCAAATGCTACCCCCTCTCACCTCGCCCACTCTCTTGGACACGTGGTAACCGCCGGAGCGCATGAAATCAACCATTGCGTCAGCCCAGTCAGGCATCAGGCAATGCAAGCGGCCGACCTGCAATAGGAGAGAGGAGATAGAATGAGCTCTTTAGAATGAGGAGATAAAATGAGCTCTTTAGAATGAGGAGATAGAATGAGCTCTTTAGAATGAGGAGATAGAATGAGCTCTTTAGAATGAGGAGATAGAATGAGCTCTTTAGAATGAGGAGATAGAATGAGCTCTTTAGAATGAGGAGATAGAATGAGCTCTTTAGAATGAGGACATAGGAGAGGAGGAGCTCTTTAGCAGCCGACATGCACAGCTGACAAGCTCGACGCTTCTACTGTCACCCCCAATCACTTAATGTTGGAGCCAGCATTCCGAATGTTGTTATTTTGTTTTAGGTGCCTTAGAAGTGCTGATGTGGAATGCTAAATTAAGGGCTGCCACATCCACTCCCTCATTTCCACACGTACATTCATTGCGTCTTCTGTTGACAGTGTCTTGTCATGGAATGCCATCTTAATTGCTGACATGCGCAGCTGCACGCTTTTCAGCAGAGCTACCTGCGACACACACACAGAGACACACATGTACAAGCACACATAGCCACACACACCGACACACACATGCACACACACGGAGACACACACAAGAAACAAGCATGGAAATGCAGTAATCAAGAAGACGGATACGCGTTAATCTCATGGCACTAGCTTTTGCTACAACAAGCTGCATGCTTTGCAAGAGAACTACATGCATGCACTCCCAAGAGCCCTAGCGCACGTCACAAAGATTTGCAAGAACAAAGGTGGGGTGGGACCGTGGGGGCACGACCGGGCCCTTCCAAAGACCAACAGGCTAGGCAGGCAGGTAGGCAAGGCAGGCAAAAGTTAAGGACTCACCCCAGCATAGGCCAGGAACTTTGGCAGGGCAGCAAGAGGACCCTTCCACAAACCAACCAAGCAAGCCAGGCAAGCCAGGCAAGCCAGGCGAGGAAGGCGAGCCAAGTACCAGTAAACTCACCCCAGCGTAGGCTAGGAACTTAGGCAGGGCAGCAAGAGGACCCACGCCCTCCTGAAACGCCTGTGCGTCCAGCAGGAGGAGACCTGCTGGCTGGAGTGGTGGGCCGGGGAGAGGGGAGGGGGGAGAGGGGAGAGGGGAGAGGGGAGAGGGGAACAAGCAGTGAGTGTGGATGTGACTGAATAGTAGCGAGAGGGCCCACGCCCTCCTGAAACGCCTGTGCGCCCAGCAGGAGGAGACCCGCTGGCTGGGGTGGTGTTGGCGGGTGGGGGAGAGGTTGGAAGGCAAGCAGGGGCGAAACGGGAACGAGCAGGAAAGTTGGGTCGGGCTATGCAACAGCGAGAGGGGTCATTTTCTTCTTCAATAGTCAAGAAAGTGCAACTAAATTGGTGCCTGTAAAAGGAAATTTCCCATGAACGTTAATGATGTATAGAAATTACTACTGATACAAACAAACCTTCCAACATCGGGATGGTTCAAAGCCAGGTTGATGGCAGCAGCACCAAAAACGCGTAACAAAAGAAACAGTAGCATTATAGGAAGCAACAATAATATTATAAACCGTACCACATCGGGATGGTTCACAGCCAGGTCGATGGCAGCAGCACCCCCAAGGCTAGGACCAACCAGCAGAGCTGGGCGCCCCCCTAGGTGTTGCCGCCAGAACTGCAAGAATAAGGAACGGGATGGAGGGAAATAGCAATTATTCATCTGAAGAAAAGGCAGGAGAGCTGGTTGCCCCCCTAGAAGTTGCCGTCAGAACTGCAAGCCGAGGGGATGGGAAGGAAATGACAGGAAATAGCATTATTTCTTCTAAAGAGAAGGCAGGAGAGCTGGTTGCCCCCCTAGAAGTGCCGCCAGAGCTGCAAGGGTCGGGGGAGAGAAACTTGTAAGGCAGCAGCATTGGTTCGTCTGAACAGCGAGGATTTCGAGCAGTGAGGGCTAAGGGTGTTTCCACGCTAAGGTGCACGAGAAAAGAGCAGGGGGAAGAGATTGGTACCAAATTCATTCAGGTGTTACATAGTGCAGGTAGTACGCGGTGCAGGATAAACCTGGTGCAGGCAGTACCTGGTACAGTTAAATTAGTACTGGTGCAGGCAGCAGTGGCTGGTGCAGCATACCTTAGTGTAGGTAGATAGTACCTTGTACAGGTAGTACCTTGTACAGGTAGTACCTGGTACAGATGCTCCCTCTTGGCATCTACGGAGAAGGACTGAATTCCTCGATCTGCATGCACACGTGGTGGTGGGATGGTGGAGAGAACAGAGGAACTGTAATGAACAACTGCCTCTGGAGAGAAAAGGAGGAACAGTACAAAGAGAGGAATGATCAGGCACCGATGCTAAGCCCCAACCCAGAGTGTCCATGGCCCGTCATCCAGATGCGGCACTCTCTTGTTCCGGCAGCAGCGGGGTCCACAGCCAATCATAAAAACGACAAACACCAGATCCTCGCCTCACCCTTGGTGGTGTCTGAAAAGACCCAGCCCAGGGTGTCGACCGCCTATGGCTCTGCTCCCTGCCGCAACAAGAGAGTGCCAGCAACTGAATGAAACCCCTCATCTGGTTTGAATTGAACTCCTCGCCTCACCCTTGGTGGCGTCGGAGAAACCCCAGCCCAGAGTGTCCACCGCCCATGGCTCTGCTTCATGGTGCTATGACAGAAGATAAGCAGCAAGCCAGCTTATCAAGCACACTACTGAAACCCCTCGACTCACCCTTGGTGGTGTCTGAAAAGCCCCAGCCCAGGGTGTCGACCACCCATGGCTCTGATCTGTGCTGCTACAACAAGAGAAGCCCATTTGGTGAAATGAAACCCTCATTTGGTTTGAACCTTTGAACTCCTTGACTCACCCTTGGTGGTGTCTGAGAAACCCCAGCCCAGAGTGTCCACCGCCCATGGCTCTGCCCCCCCCTCCTCCAGACGCTGATACACCCGCCGCCACTCCAGGCATGAGCTGGAAGCAGGGGCGGGAAGGAGGAAGGGGAAAGGAGTGAAAGACCATGAAAGGTCTTGACTGGGATATAATGCTCCTCCCTCTTCCAGGTGCTGATACACCCACCGCCACTCCAAGCATGAGCTGCATGGGAGGAGAAGGGGGGGAAGGGGGGGACGAAGGGAGGAGGACTGGGGTAAAGGTGGGGAGAGTACGGAGACTCACTCCTCTCCTCCCTCCTCCAGGCGCTCATACACCCGCCGCCACTCCAGGCATGAGCTGCACGGGAGGGGAAGGGAAGGGGAGGTGGATGGAGGGAGGAGAGGAGTGCGGAATAGCCTACTGATGAGTCTCAATGATCCTCCCTCCTCCAGACGCTGATAGACCCTCATGGTCCTCACCTCATGACCTCCATTGACTTCACTGACACCCACCTGGCCTCACTGGCTTTACTGACACGTCAGAAACGGGTCTCATTGGATCAGTTGACTCGTCCGAATTCGGTCTCAAGAACTCGACTGACCTGTCAAATCCGTGGAAGAGAAGGATGGGGACGGCTGTCTGGCCGAAGTTTTTTGGCACGATGCAGCTGCTCATGATTGGTTCTGAAGCCAGTTTGGTCTGGGTGACGTGGCAGGGGAGGGGAGGGGTGGGGAGGAGCGGAGGCGGAGGAGAGAGGAGGAAGTAAGGACGAATAGAGGAAAGAAGGGATAGGACCAGAGGAGACGGTTGAGTTGGAGGGTGGGGAGGAAGAGAAGGGAGGGAGGAAATCAGGGAAAAGGAGGGGGAAGGAGAGGCAGAGAGAAAGGGGGAAGGGTAAGGAGAGAACAGAGGGGAAGGAAGAGGTTATGAGGTCAGCAAGGGAGGGATTGGAAGTGACTGGAAGAAGTTATAAGATGTAAACTGAGAATGCATCTCGACGGCATACATCCGATGGAATCGATCGTATGTCTTCTCCTATGCGTCCAATCCATTCCACTACCTCCCCACACCTGCAATCTGTCTCGTCACCTGCATCATCAACATCATCTATACCTCCCCCCACCTGAAGCAATCCGTAGGAGCATCGACGCACTCACCTGTACTGGCAGCCTCTGAACGCGCCGGGCCAGCTGGCGAGCCGCCTCCTCCTCAAGCTCCGTCACTTGCGGCGGCAGAAACGCGGGGAATTCCGTGGCTTCCCCTGGTGGCTCGATGGACGGAGACGTGGCAACGCCATTGCCGCTGCGCGCCTCGGACTCCGAGCTTGCTGACATGCTCACTCTCCTGTAGCCGCTATTTCTGTTAACTCTGTAATCCATGTTTGTACCCTTATTTCTGTGAGCATGGCTTATGCTAAGCGGATGGGGAGCCAATAACGGAGATATCTGAATTGGTGACTGTAACGAAGCCCGACGAGACCCGCCATGCGCGTCTTGTCGCACGGCGAGCCTGCTCGTAACGGCAGCCTGCGAGTACGAAGCAATCGCAGCCATAGTAAAAGGCCTCTAAACAGCGTGTTTTAGCACCTGACGATTGAGCGACTCGAGACTGTCAGCAATGCATCAGGGAGACAGATTTAGTAGCGGTGGAATGCCTGCGAAATCTGTTGTGCTATATTTTTTCTTCAAGGCATCCCACGCTACCGAGCTTTATCAAAGCGAAGCGAATGCAACCGAAGACAAATGAGATGACTTTCCTGATCACTACACAGCAGCAAGGACGATGCACTTCGACAGGTGACAATGCCGAGGGATGACTTGATTGGTACTAGGAAATAAGCTGCTCATCACTCGCCACGTCAATTGCATGTCATCGGCAACACCAGGGCCACTTTTCTTCGCAAAAATCACAGCTTCACTGTCTGAACCCAGAGATTCATGTATGTTCTGAACCCAAATGGAAAACTGCAACGACCCGTGAGGTTTTCGATGCTGGGTAGTACTTCTGTATTCTGAGGGCGACGTCAGGTTGTACAACTTTTTGTACGCTCACTGCGGTCAAATTTGTTTTTGTCACGGTGCAAAACAGTGATTTTTTTCCAACCGCTTTTCACCGTATGGAACCGACCTGAGATACGACACAAGAACTGTAAACGTGTGAGAAAAACCCATCGAATGGTGAACTTGACACAACGAACGGAGGCAGAACACGCTGTACCCCCCCTACGATGCTTCATTCTACATGGCAGCACACAATTCCGCCAAGGTGGGTGAGAGCAATCTCTCTCTCCAATCCGCTACGTTCCCGCGCAGCTTTAGGAGAGCCACTCATCCCTTCAGAATGTCGCCGCCACCGCAGCAGACTTGTGTGCTCCTGGTGAGCAAAAGCACAACAAACATCCACTACGTTTCAGTGCGTTTCAATGCGTTTCCACACGGTAAACGGAGAATGTCTTACACTAACGCTCTAGATCGCTTCGCACCGAACATGACATTGATCGTCAGTCTCTGTTCCCCACAAACCGCAGCCCTATCAGTTCTCTCCACTAACCTCCTCCCAATTCACTTCCACAATCTGGATTTCTCCCTCATGCACAGCCGACTCCTTTTTCAGCTTCAACTTCCTCCTCCATTCTGCCGTCTTTTATTCCTTTCTGTCCCCCCGTGAACCAGTGCCAAAGCAGAATTCTCCGTGAACGATGCGCGTTTTTGCTCTGGATTGCTAGGTTGGTTCCACGTTGCCCACTACGCCTCGTACTCGTTGCCGCTTGCTTTTCCTCATGGCGACTTCCAGTACCTTAAAAGAGCTGGTCCGCGTTTCTCATCCTCGACCTCTAGCTTCGCAATGCCCTAGCTTGGTTCACAATCACAACGCTCTAGTCCGCTTGACTCATAGCCACAATTTTCCCAAAACATATCATGTATCACTGTCGCATCGGCACGGCTTGAAAATTGGAACAACTAGAAAGGTTTCAAAGAATACATCCTTTGTTCAAGCGACAACATCGCGTGTGAGGTGCCACGTAGCGGTTCCTGTGGACGTGAGCTCCTACAACGACTCTTCAACTTCTGCCAAATCTCGTCGGAATCCGTCAGTCATCGACGCCGATGATTCACATTCCCTCGCCGGGGGTTTCGCCGTGCCAGCTCACGAAACAGATGGACTCGTTGCCGGTTCGGTCCATGTGTGTGGCGAAAAGCTCGAATTCAAAGGCGGAAGGCTGGCAGGAGGAAGCGCGGGAAGCAACCCGCGGGGACCTCGATCACACGAGGAGATTCGCGAGCGGATAGCGTTGGAAAGGGCACGGCAGCGCGCAACGGACCGGCAATCTACCGCTCTCGTCCGCGCGCTGACGTGGGCTCTGCGTGGCGTGGATGACGTGGCAGCGGTGGATGCGGTTATGGCTGTCGCGGAGGAGGAAGGCGAAGAGGTGAACGCGCGAGTGGTATCTTCCGTGCTCCAGAAGCTCGGAATTGAACGCCGAGTTGGTGCTGCGCTGGCGCTTTTCCATTGGATGCAGCGTGCTTCTGGTTCCGGGACTGTCAGAAGCGGCACTACAAAGACCGGTACGCCTTCTGAAGGCGAATTCGAAAGAAATAGTCACGCACAGGAACAAGCAGTTTCTGAACACGAGGAAGCAAGAAAAGGAGAGACTAATGTGAGATGGGAGGGACTATCTGAGCCGAATGTGTACACGTACAATAGCTTGTTAGGAGCACTAAAAGCCAACGGAGAATGGGTTCGGATGGAGGAAGTAGTGGAGTGGATGTCAGCCAATGGCGTGGCGCCAGATGTCGTCACTCTAAACACTCTCCTGGCTGGCTTAGAAACGCAAGGCAAGGACGAAGCAGTGTGGAACCTTCTAACAAAGTTCGGCATCCAGTACTCGTTTCACAAGCCACGGCGGACCACAGACGCTCAGAGCAAGCCGCTGGAGAGCAAGGCTTCAGAGAGCAAGAAGCAGGAGCCGAATCCGCAGAGCAAATCGCACGAGCCGACTCTCCATAGCACGTTACACGATGCCGCAACAGTCCCGCAGCATCTAGTGGCCGCGTCCGTCGCACCCACCAAGGCCGCGGAGTCCGTGGAGGGATGGTCTGTGCGGCCGGACCTGTTCACTGTGCGCTCCGTGCTGCCTGTGTGCCGCAGAGGGCGGGTGGTGGAACGAGTGCTGGCGCTGTACTCTCTGGCTCTGGAATCAGCGGGGTCTGCTAGTGGCAGCAGTATTAGCACCGGCAGGACCAGCAGCAGCGGCAGCGGCAGCAGCGGCAGCGGCAGCAGCGGCAGCTGCAGCAGCAGCAACAGCAGGAACGAGGGGGGCAGCAGAGCTGTAGCCAGAGGGGGTGAGCGGAGTGGGAGCACCCGGCAGCAGCAGCAGCATCGGGAGGTGGCAGCGGCGCTGAGGTTTGCTTGTAACGAGGAAATGAAGCAGATCGTCGCCACGCTGGAGCGACAGGTGGACGGAAACCGTCAAGCAGACGGTAACTGGCAGGCAGACATTCACATACAGGCAGGGAAGGCCGAACAGACAGGGACCAGCAAGGCAGCTGCATTGGCGCAGGATACAGCACCGGGAGGCGCAGGTAGGGATGCTGCTGCAACGAAGGGGATAGCCGTAGGCACAGTTGTAGGGGCAGCGTCAGGTGTGGTGGCGAGAGAGGGAGGGGCAGGGCGAAGTGAGGTAGCTGCCACTGGTGCTGCGGCGACAGCGATAGGAGCAGCAGCAGTTGGGGCTAAAGCAGAGGCAGCTGGGACCTCCAGAGGCGAGTTTGCTGTAAGGATGGATGAGAGGGCGCAAGAGGAGGAAGAGGAGGAACAGGAGGAGCAGGAGGAGCAGGAGGAGCAGGAGCGGGAGCAAGGGCAAAGAGCAGGGAGTAGGGGGGCAGGAGAGAGCATGATGAGGCATGGCACAGCAGGTGCGTCCAGGGTGCTGTGGCTGCTGGATCAAATGGAAAGGGTGGGGATTGAAGCTGATGCGGAGACATACCGCTTGGCCCTGCATGCTTGCTGCCTTGACGACCTCGTGGGTCATGCTAAGCCCGTGGGCATGGGCAGCTCTAAGGGCGCAGGCATGGGTCACCGTAAGCATGGGCATGGGCATGGGCATGGGCATGGGCACGGGCAAGGAACTTGCAGGCAGCGGGAAATCCGCACTCTCTTTGCTGCCATGCGCAGCCACGGGTTCGTCCCTAGCCTGAACACGTGTCACCAGGTGATTGGCGCACTTGGCAGGGCGAAAAAGTGGTGGGCCGCACTGGAAGTTTTCGAGTCGATGAAGGCACAGGGCCCGGCGCCGACCGCTGCCACGGAGAGGCTCATTCGCGGGCACTTTAACATTTTGCTGACGGCTGCCCGGAAGCGCGGGCTATGGAAGTGGTCTATCTCTCTGCTTTCCAAGATGGAGTCTGCAGGGCTCCCACCAGACGCCTTTGCATGGCGCACGGTTCTCGTAACGTGCGCAAAGGCTAACGAAACCGCTTCCGCTATCAAAGTTTTCGAGGATATGGTGGAGACCGGGGTCCGGGCAGATGCAGTGGCGTACGGCGCTTTGCTAAGTGCTCTGGAGAAAGGGGATTTGTTAGAGCCAGCAGAGGCGGTGTGGGGGCATATGAGGAAGATGGGTGTGGAGCCGAATAGGCAGGCGTACACTACTATGATTGTTGCACTGGGGAAGAGAGGAGAGTACGGACGAGCTGCAGCCCTGTTTGAGGAGCTTCAAGGGACGGCTAGCAGCGGCAGCAGCAGCAGCAGCAGCAGTGGTGGTGGAAGCAGCAGCAGTGGGAGCAGCAGTAGCGAGTCTGCTCTGTCCCAGCAGGGGGGAGCAGGGGAGGAGCTGGTTGCTGTTCGGGTGCACAGCAGGCAGAATGGGACACCAACACCAGGCGCTGCTCACAGAGAACATCGTCTGGGTGCTGACGTGGCGGCATTCAATGCGATGGTGACGGCTTGTGCTCATGCTGGAGAAGGGCTGAGGGCGCTTGACTGGCTGCAAAAGGTTAGTAGTGAATGCTGCTCTTGCTTTTCCTGCTTCAGTCAATTCACAACTAGATGTGTGCTGACGAATGGCTGCAAGGACGTGGCGTGGCTGGCTGTACGAGGCAAGTGCATGTTACCATTGCTTTTCCCTTCATGCATACTGGAGACGGGCTGAAGGTTCTTGAATGGCTGCTCAAGACAAGTGGACGCTGCTCTTGCATCTCTTCAGCGCTGAATGTTTCTCGTCATCCCCATCGATTCCCCATGTGTTGAAGTGCCAGGTTATGCTAACAATTAGTTTCGCAGCACTTGTGTCACTAAGGAAGTGATCCATGCAGGATTGCTCTCTCTCACATCAACTGTTTCAGTACTCTGCGCTCCCTCTGACCCCAATCCCCCAGCCGCTGCCTACTGCCTGCTGCATTCAACGCTTCATGTCCTATTTTTTTCAGATTTCGTGCATTTTCTTTTATCTTATATTTCCGTTTTACAGATGGAGGTTTCATCTGCCACTCCGCCAAATGCCACCACCTACCAGCAAGCTGCCATCGCTCTTGCTGATGCCAGTCACTGGGAGGTCGCTCTCTCCCTCATTCCACGAGCACGCTCTAGAGGTATTGAACCCACGGCCTTGATGTTTGAGGTGGTGCAGCGGGCATGTGCTGCCAATGGGGCAGACTTTGCATCACAGTTGGCAGCTGTTTCAACCCCTCGTGCAGATTTGGTTGGTGGTGCGAAGAGTTGATGCTAGAAAGGAGCCTGTGGATACTGGTTCTCAGTTGAGAATCTGAAGTCAAGCTAATAGCAAACACACTCTAGCTGACCTTTATTTTAACATGTTCAAATGTGTTTCCTACATATTCTTATAGCGAGAATTTGAAGCAGAAGTGACTGGTGGAATTGCACGTTCGTGTACAGCCCCACCCGCCACCCCTCGCTTGCGACAGGTGCAGACCAGCTATTGCTGAGCTGGACAGTCCCTCAGTAGTGACCTGGAGGAGAGGACCCCTAGGCCAATTGCCTTGCCACACAAAGGAACGTCGCTCAAAACCTCGATTATTGTTGGGAAGAGATCATCGAGGGGCCAAACATTAGCAGGGACGTGGCCGAATTAGGGCAACGTGAGTCGCACCCCTAGCACGTAGGTCCGAACCTGCGTACGAGCCTAAGTCGTTTTTCTCGAACCATAACAAATATAAACCCTTATTGGATGGCATGCTTTTAGGGAGAAATCAACCCTGAACACTCTGCGACAAGGTCTTTAGGGTTGCCTTGTTTCTGAACAATATTCCGTCAGCTTGTTGGGTGTTTAGGTTCGAAAATTGTTCGGGCTAGTTGCGACGCTGGTTCGGCACTGCTTCGAAGGAGTGCGACTCATACGGCCCTAATTCGGCCATCTCTCTGCTATTCTTCGGCCCTAATTTGGTCATTTCCGATTATTGTTGACAAGCTTTGGGGTTGACGCGACAAGCGGTGGTAATCAAGCAGTCGCCGTAGGCGTCGGTCGGTAGCTCATCCAGTCACTTGTGTCGCTTTTCCGTAGAGCGGTGCCTAACCGTCCAGTCCAGACTACCATCATCGACTCTTTCAATGTGTGCGACGTGCTACTGCACTGTCGCAAAGAAGAAACCTTGCGAAAGCGACACTTCTCGCCAATCCGAATTGGGCCATCATCCACATCTATGTTTCCCGTCAGCCAATCAAAACACAGTAGGTGCTCTCTCGAAGTTCGTCGTTTCCCCCGCCGATGTGACAGCCCACCCGAACCTTCCCGCCGTTCCGCCGTTCTGCCGGAGCTTTCCCTCCCCGCGTGCTCCGCTCCGCGCATCCCAGATTCCTTCCGCGTGATGCGTCCGCCCAACAAGAGCCAGACAACCCCAACGCTGCCTTGGTTCTGGTTGGCTGGTTTGCCATGCCATACCATTTCCAAGTCTCTCTTGCCTGGCCGTCTTTTCGATTGGGTGTGATGGATCATGGTTGGGTGGTGGTGGTACGGTATGCATGGTGGTGGTGGTGACTCACTGTGTTCTGTGAAGAGTAGAGTCAGAAGAGAGGTCACAGCCTCACTGGGCCACCTCAGATGTTCCCGAGAGAGCAGAGTAGACAGAGCAGACAGAGCAGCACGGAACCCTGCACGATGCTTCTTTGTGGTTAGGAGGTTCTTGCACCACCATTCACCCTGCACCGCTTTTTAGGTTAGTTACAGCACCAACAACGTTAGCAAAAACAGGTGTATCCAACCAGCAGTATGCTTTTCCTAACCATGCTTTCAGATTTTAGTAGTTACAGCCAGCTTCGACTGTAGTTGACGGACTAAACCAGCGTAACTTTGACAGCCAATATCAGTCAAGGTCCTGACGGAGTTTAGTCTGATGGCGATTGCGGTGTCGCAAATCAGAAAGGTCGCCGCGGCGGTAGCGGACGAGCAATGGGGCGACGACCCTCCGCCGCTGAACTCCTACTTACCTCCTTACGCCCCGCCTCCCACCCCCGCCCTAACGTCCAAATCAGTATTTTCTCCCAGCATACCGCAACGAAGCTTCCCCCCTCCGCTCATGTCGGAACTCGCGTTCTCTCCTCGCTCACGCAACTCCGACGTTTTCCCTCCGGCGTTCCTCGAAAGGCAGTCAACCACGACGAGCTCCGTCAAGACCGCACAGAACTCCGAAGAACCGCAATTGGAACTGCCGCTTCTCCTTTTGCGGCCAGACCCTAACGACGCTGAGCAGATGAACGAGGACCGGCAACTGTGCGACAATGTGCGAGCAATGCAGCTCCAGCGATTCCTCGACGACTGCCTTGCGAGCGCCGTCGCGTCGCAGACGCCAATCGTCGGTGGCACTTCACACCCCGCTCCGCTTCTCCCGGGTCTCCCTCCTGTCGCATTCAGCACGTCCAGCTGTAACAGCGAGCCGTCGGATGGCAGCCGCGTTTCGCTTCATTCGCCGTCGCTGTCGCACGCGCCGTCGCAGGCACCGTCGCAGTCGCACTCGCAAGCGTCGCCCAGAGAGAAGCAGAAGCAGGGTGGCGACTCCTGGCCGGTGTCGCCACGTCACGCGCACGGCGATTCGCTCATGGATCAGGTCGACGAAGATTGGATTCGAGCGCAGGCCGCGAAACAAGCCCGCGGGCCTTCCGCCGCAGCCGACGACGGCAGAAACTACGCCGTTAGTGTGGGGAATGGCGCTAGTGGGGAAACCGAAGCGAATGAAACGACCTGGGAGAAAGAGGAGGGCGTAACCGGTCAAACCAAGTGTCCTAAGAAGGAGGCTTTTGGGAACCCCGCGCACGAGAGGTTCAGCCATGGCAGCCGCACGAGCAGCATAAGTAGCGGAGGAGTCGGAGCAATAGATTGGGTAGCAGGCAGCAGTATGAACGCGTCTAGCAACAAGTCTTCCCCCGGACTTCCCGCGGATGACTCCCCGCATCCCGCCATTCCCCCCTCCGCCCCCGCCTCCGCCCTCTATCGCGAAAAGCCCTCCGCTCCCCCCGCGTTCGCCTTCCCCCAGGCGCAGCCTTCCCCGGGAAACGCCGCTGGTGAGTTAAAGCCGCTCCGACCACCCCCCGGCGCGTACCGGCGGTCGGTTTCGATGGCTGACGTGGACAAGGGGAAGAGTTACGTGTTAAGCGCTAGGGTTACTGAGCGACATAGCTCGCTGAAAATGTCGTCGTCGTCGGTTGAATTTCCAGCTCTGAGGCAATTCGCAGACGTCGCAGGCGACGCAGGCGACGTCGCGAGGCCCGAAGACGTGATATGGAAGAATCTTATCGCGTCCGCTCAGGTACACAACCGCGAGATCTCCGGGCTCCGCGAGGCGTCTTGTAACGCGAACGAGCGAGTTAGAAGCGGCAACAGCGAGTGTGACAGTAGCGAGAGTCTAGGCTCGTCGTGCGTGAAACGGAAACCGGTCACGGTGCTCGAAGGTTTAGAGGAGGTGGAGGAAGAGGGTAATGCCCTCCAGATGACCCCTCGGGAGGAAGCTTCGCGCGAAATAACTCCTCGACCTTCCACTGCTCGCGAGGAAACATCGCAGGAAGTTACGCCTCGTCCTTCCACTGCTGCTACTGACGTTGCCTCTACCCCAACAACCGATGTTCCTTGGAATCCTACATTTGAACGAGACCGGGCCATGCCGCCATCCACGCCGCAATCGGCGGCGGAGTCCGCGGCGCAGAGGGCCGCGCGGAAGGCGGCGCAGGGGTCCTGCATTCCGCCGAGGGCGCAGTCCCCGCGGCGGCGCAACAGCGGGCTGTTCCGCAAGCAGGGCTCCGGAAGGCTCGATGGGCCGCAGAGACAAGGGTCGGGGAGGGGGCTGGCGGGACTGGCTTCCGCCGCAGCTGGCGCAGCAGCAGGGGCAGGCGCGGGGGCGGGTAGGAGCATCTCGCGGATGTCTTCTGTTAAGAAATGGCGGGTGTTAAACGCGCTGGTAAAGCAGATGAACGTAGAGGATGCGGAGAACGAGACTGCAGACGGCGGGAACGGCGGCGGCGGCGGCGGTGGCGGGGGCGGGGGCGGTTTCACGGCGACTGAAACGCATTCCGGGGCGATTAAGTCCGAGTCGGATAAGAGCGGGTGGGGCGCGCCGAGCTTCTCAGGAATGAGCGTTGGGGGGGATACTGAGGGCGGAGGGGGCGGGCAGACAGAGGAATTCAGCGCCCCCTGGAGTTTCGGCAGTATGGGGGATGTAGAGCGGTTCAATAACACCGCAGGGGGCGGGTTTGCGGATTATAGCGTGGCGGCTGCTAGCGTGTGTCAGGTTTCCCCGGCGATTTTTGAGGCGCACTTGCATTTGGCGGAGACTATGGCTAGGGAGGAGATGGAGAGGCAGCAGCAGCAGCAGCGGCAGGAGGGGCGGCATGGCAAGGGGCCACGAACACCAAGAACACCGAGAACGCGGAGGGTGAGTGGACGGGGTTTGGTGATTGTGTGAATCAGTTGTGTTTAGTACCCGTCACAGGGCAGGAGGGGCGGCATGGCAAGGGGCCACGAACACCAAGAACACCGAGAACACCGAGAACACCGAGAACGCCAAGGGTGAGTGGACGGGGTTTGCTGTGATGGGGTGAGTCCGCTGTGTTTAGTACCCGCCAAGGGGCAGGGGCGGCTTGGCAAGGGGCCGGGTTCGCTAAGATCACCGAGAACGCCAAGGGTTGGTGTAAAGGGTTTGACGTGATGCAGTGTGGTGATACGTTGTCGGTCTGTGGCGGAGTGTGGTTCGGTCCGGTGCGGGCATGCACTCACGAGTTGAGTTACAAGGCCCTGCGTTGTGAGTTGCAGAGGAATGCTCCTCGTGAAGCTGACACAGCACATTTATGTTCACAGGGATGCCAGTCTCTTTTCCCAACCCCGTTTCTCCTTCCTTTGCAGTGCTTCCACACCCCTAAACCCGCATTCCTCATCCATCAACCCCCCCAACCCCCCGTACCTTCTCTCTTGCTCTCTCTCGTTCTCTTTCTCTCCCCGTCTTCCAGGCTCCGCAGCAGCTCGCGCAGCACCTCCATCTTCACCCCTTCAAACACCTCCTAACCCCCCACACCTTCTCCCTTATTCTCTCCCCTCTCTTCCTCGCTCCATCAGGGCATGGGCTTCCACAGCAACTCGCGCAGCAGCTCTCGCCGGCAGCAAAAGACCAGTAAGTGCGAAGAGCGCATGGTTCTGAGAGCACCTTGTATGACCCTCCTATGCCCCCCACCAATTTGACCTCCTTTGACCCACCTGTGGTCAACCCTCCTTTGACCACCATATCTGACCCTCCTTTGCTCTCCTTTGCCCATCTTTGACCCTCCTTTTACCCACGTGTGAACCTCCTTTGGATCTTATTTGGCCTCCCTTTGACCCCTCATTGACCCCTCTTTGACCCCCCTTTGACCTTTGACTCCCCTTTGACCTACCGTTGACCCACCTTTGACCCTCACTTGGCCCTCATTTGCCCCTCACTACCGAGCATCCAACCCATCAATCTACCCCTCCTCTGACCCCCACCATACATCACGGCGGCAAGCCCAGGTCAAACGTGCCACTGGCCATGTGTTGTGCACTCAACCCTTTCACTCCATGCTTTCTAACACCTCCCCTTTCACCACACGCTCCCATCATCCTCCCCCAATCCCCCATCCCTGCCACCCTCTTCCAGCCTGGAACCGCACATGTCAGTGCGAGCAGCCAGGGTCAGGCCACCCGTTGCCCCTGAGGGCTGAACCCCGACATTGTGTTTCCCGACTTGCTTTCCATTATCTCCTTCCGTTCCGCCTCCCACCTCCTGCCAACCCCCCTCAGCCTGGGACCCCCACCACGTGTCAGTGCGAGCAGCCAAGGTCAAGCGAGCCATCGGCCACACAATCACTAGCCTAGCCTTGGATCATTTCTCCCCATTATCTTCCAGTGTCTCATTCAATTTCCTCCCACCGCTCCCAACCCTCCCTCATCCCTTCAGCCTGGGACCCTCACCACGTGTCAGTGCGAGCAGCCAAGGTCAAGCGAGCCATTGGCCACGTGTTTCGGAAAATCACCGCCAAGCCACTGGGTTTTCTGCGCAAACTCAATCCCGGTAAGCCGTTTTTTCCCTCAACCTCGAGGCACCTCAATAGCGTGTTCCGCTTTTCACCTCCATCCCAGTAAACCATTTCGGACCACAGTTTAAAACACCTCATATGTGTGCCCCAAGATTTCACCGCAAGCTGCTGGGTTTTCTGTGCAAAACTCAGCCCTTCGTTTTCGTGGCCATTGTTATTTTGCATGCTAATGCTGTTTTTCTGTTATGTTCTGCCTCTGGCCTTAGTCTTCATGAGCTAATCCCGTATGAGGCATCGTGTGCACTTGTCCCACCCGTAGTCGCTACTGCTTTATCTTTCCCTCTCGTTTCCTCCCTCATCCCCTCCCTCTCCCTTTCCCCCTTATTACCTGACCTTGGCTTGAATGATTTATATATTTCCTCTTCTCCTGTGACCTCCCCCTGTGCCCACCAGCGTGCCGGGCTACGTGAATGTGTGTTTATGCGTTTCTCAATCAACGCGGTTACAAGTACACTGCCTTGTTTACCTCCATACATAGACATCAAAGCATGGTTTGAAGGTGCCAGCCGTGAGTTTGTTTCGAGTCAACTTGCGGACGGGCCACTTCGATTTTGGCGGCATTAGGCAGAGCCGTTCAAAAGTTTAAAACCCGTTTGGCCACGATGGCACTCTCTAGGGTTGCAATACTTGTAGAGTTGAAGAACTGATACTGGTACGGTACCACAGAAATTTCTGGAGCGGGCCCTCAGATACTAGCATTTGATACTGTGTCTGCCTCTTCTGGCCTCTGGTTTTGCATGATGGAGAGTACATGGTATCTTAGCCCTTCATGGATTTGCGCAGGGATTACGTATTGTTCTTTGTTGTGGCTGTTATCCAGTGTACATTTGACTGACAAAGGTTGTTTAGAAGGTTGAAGTGCCAGTACCTGTTACGTAACGCTAACAATTACATGGTTAGAAAGAGATGAACTCGCACTTGCGCTATTTCTAGAATACTAAATGAGACTATACATTTACAACCGTACCGTATGTCCTACACACTATCATAAAATACAAAGTGGGTGTTTGTTACCATAGCTAATATCGCACAAATGTCCCATCCCGTGCATTACATCGGGCCGTGGGGCTTCTGTAAGACTGCTTGTAAGAAACGTGCAGCTTATTCAAGCTTTCTTTGTCTTCCCTGTTGGCAACAGTACGGTACTTCAAGTTCATGACTTATGTGGCAGCAGTTATGGGTAGTGATGAAATTATGTACACTGGCGGGGTGAGGTGATGCGCGCACGGGGCGTGTCTGGTCGCTTTCGATAATCTCCCTGGGTACGGTATTATTCTGGGGGTTCCCTGGTACTTTCCACGGGGGAATCTCTTTGGGGAGCAAGTGTGGTGAAGCAGGCAATCTGATTCCCTGTGGGTCACCGATGCGGGCGGCGGGAGAAGAGCAGGGCGACGCAGCAGTAGAGGAGGAGCGACCCCAGGAGAGCCTGGAGGGGAGAGATGCGGAGAGGAGGTATTGAGTGGGGGAAAATGATACGAGTGGAGAGTGTATGAGGGAGCGAGAGAATGACAGGTGTAAGGAAGGGAAACAGAAAATCCTATTGGGATGATGGGAGAGGAACGGGGGTGATGCAGCAGCAGAGGGGAATGACATCAGGAGAGCCTGCTGGATGGGGGGAAGGGGGAAGGTGGAAAAAAGGGGAGAGAGTGGGCGACGGAGAGCGGGACAGCGAGAGTCATGGGGGGGCGTAGTTGGGACTCACTGCATGCAGACTCACGGTGTTGAGGAATTGCATTCGCTCCAGCGACGTCAGTCGAGCGTCCATCAGCTGCAGCCGAGCCGCCAGGCTGGCGGTTGACGTCGACGCTGACGTGGCAGCTGGCTGTTGCGATGCTGACGTGGCAGAAGCAGCTGACGGTGGTGGCGGTGCAGGAGGCTGAGTTGGCAGAGATACTTCATGAGGGATGCTGGCACTGTTAGTAGCACCACCGGCTGTAACACCAGCACCACCAGCACCTGCTGTAGCGGCAGCAGCAGCAACAGTGCGCATAGCTGGCAGTACGCCGTAAGAGGGTGTACTGGTGCCGGCTGTAGCAGCAGATGTAGCAGAAGGGTACGATGGTGGCATGGACGCTGCGAGTGCTCTGTTGTAATCTCTGCTGCTGCTGCTGGTGCCAGCGACAGTCATGTTAGGTAGTAACGATGGAGCAGCCTTTGGGGGAAGGGGGAAACGAGGGGGAGGTGTGTTTTCAAGAGAAGAACGAAAGGATTTTATACGATTTTTTTTTTCTGTGAGGCTCATTCTGCTAGGGAATTTGATGAAAAGGGAAAGTGTTTTGTTGTCTTGCTGGGAGAGTCTCAATGCTTGACCATTAACCACCAATCTATGATCAGACAGGCGGGGTGGTGGTGAACTTGGACGTAAACACACTCAAATAAACGTCATCACGTCATCACGTCATCATCTTCCCCTTAATGGAAGCCATTAAGCAAGTGCCTCTCACCTGAGGGGATACGCGTTGCAGCAAGGCGTGCAAGCGGGCTGCTTGTTGGTTTCGATGCACATCCACCGACTCTGAGAAGAACACTCGGTTGCTGTCGTAGATTATCTCCACGAATGGCTGCATGCCACGTGTCACAGTATTGGGGGGTGGTGGATGATAGGAAAGATTGCAATAAGAAGGCGACTACTTTGACGTTGTAAGAAAGTTGGGAAGAAGGCGGGATGCTGGAGGGGCGAGGATGCAGCGTGTAATGCTGAGAATTTGGCAGCAACTAGACTAGTCCACTGTGATTGCACATCCCTCATATTAGGATCACTTTTAAGAAGTCCCAAGTGATCCCAACACAGTGTGTCGAATCAAATAAGAACTGGAACTTAGCAAGTTTCATCTGCAAGTTATTAGGAATAGGCGAGGTAGCATCCCGGCTGCTGCCCTTGATCTTTTGAGAATCCTCAAAAGTGATACAATATTGCCTTTGATCTGCACAGACAGCCAGTGCCACTGTACCGTACCAACATAAATCCCACAGAACCGAGTCCCATACCTTGGTAACGTACGTCCCATCCAGCCTCATGGCTCGCCCTGCGGCAGCAACGGCATCCCGACTGCTTCCCTTGATTTGCACAAAGCGGCGCCCATTCAAGCCCTTGATCCCCACCACCTCCACTGATATCTGGTGGGCAAGTCGGACGGGATGGGATGGAATAAGCACCACGCCCCGCCCTTGTTATGTGCTCGCCCCATCCCCCCTTGATTTGCCCAAAGCACCTCCCGTTCCAACCCTTGATCTTCACAAAGCACTGCCTGTTCAGGCTCTTGATTCCCCTTTGAGAAGATTTTGGAAACAATACCAGAGGGGCTGGTGAGCGACATCAGGAAACAGAGATACTCCCTTTTGAGGCGCCTTGTAAAGAGAAATACATGCAGACAAGACATGTATAGTTCTCGCTACTTGGTACCAACGTGCTGACCTGGTCGTCTTGGAACACTGTGGCTGACACTTCCATGAACAGCCCTGCCAGGTACCTGCCTCGCTAGAATTGCACCTGCCCTCCCTGCACCTGCCCTCCCTGCACCTGCCCTCCCTGCACCTGCCCTCCCTGCACCTGCCCTCCCTGCACCTGCCCTCCCTGCACCTGCCCTCCCTGCACCTGCCCTCCCTGCACCTGCCCTCCCTGCACCTGCCCTCCCTGCGTAGTACTTGCATACCAGTAGGCTTGCCACCGCCAGTGTGTTCTGACCTGGTCGTCTTGAAACACAGTGGCTGAGACTTCCATGAACAGCCCTGCCTTGTACCTGCATATGAGACACACAAGGAGAGAAGAGAGGAGCAAACAGAACAAACATCAGAGATAACTGTTTGCTTTTATTCCACCACATCCAGATCAAACATAAAGTAGAAATGGAAACCTGCTTGCTTACCTGCAATCCACCACGTTGCATCCACCACGTTGCATCCACCACGTTCCATGCACACAGCAGCAAATAAAAGAAGAGATGAGCAAATTTCACTTTAGCCTTATCAGCTAAGCTGCAGAAGAGAGCTGTAAACCAGCACTGGTAACCTGGTAACCTCACAGCTGCTGGTAACCTGGTTACCATAAGCCTCATCACTCACCCAAGCCTCACTAGCCCTGCCCCTGTGGAGAGCCCAATGTCAAACTCCACTTGGTGACTTTTGAATCAACTCAAATGACATACCTCACAGAATGCATGAATTACCACAGCTAGTGGTAACCTGGTTACCACAAAAAGCAGCACAGCCAGCGTTTTCACCATGCCACTCACCCCAGCCTCACTTGCCCTCCCACTGTAGAGAGCCCAATGTCAAACTCCACTTGCGGCTGAATCACATGCCTCACATGATAGATGTACCGCCATTACAGCTGGTTACCTGGTTACCATTGCACCACTCACCCCAGCCTGACCAAGCCAGCCACTGTGGAGAGCCCGATGTCAAACTCCACTTGCGGCTGAATTACATGCCTCACATGACAGATGTACCGCCATTACAGCTGGTTACAAGGTTACCACTGCACCACTCACCCGAGCCTCACGAGCCCTGCCACGGTGGACAGCCCAATGTCAAACTCCACTTGCGGCTGAATCACAAAGTCGCCCTCTGTCAGTGGCTGCAGCAGTGAGCAGAGTTAGCAGGGTGGGTAGTGGTTGAGGGGTGTTGGGTTGGGGAAAAGGCGGTGATAAAGACAGGACATAGGCACATAGGAGAGGGGGACTGGGAGAGAGCATAGAAAGGCCCGATGTCAAACTCACATAGAAGCACAACACTTAATCTTACCTCGCGTATAAGCACGGCGAATCGGTTGTTGCAGCAGCGAACGCGGATCCAATCAGACTCCCTCACAGACCCCTCTGGGTGCAACCCAGGCAGGTAGAAGAAAACATCTGTGTAGCACAGCTGGCGCCGGTGGTGGGTGGAGGGGTCGATCACTCGCAGTATATCCTCCTCAGTCACCTGGTGGTGGGAAGAGGAAGGATTGAGGAAGCGAACACCGAAGAACAAGGAATGAGAATGCAGTTGGATGCGATCCGTCACAGGCTCCTCTAAGCCCAGGCAGCGAGAAGATGCCATCAGAGTGGTCCGTGTAGCACAGCTGGCGCCGGTGGTGGGTGGAGGGGTCGACCACCTGTTCAAATGTACTCCTCAGAAACCTGGCGGGGTGGTAGGGGGGAACAGAAAGGAAGAAATTCCTAGTAAAATACAATTCCTCACAGGCCCCTCTGGGTGCAGCCCAGGCAGGTAGAAGAAGACGTCTGTGTAGCACAGCTGGCGCCGGTGGTGGGTGGAAGGGTCGACCACTCGCAGTATATCTTCCTCCGTAACCTGCTGGAGTGGCAGTAAGGGCACACAGAAAGGCAAGGAATGAATGTCTAGGAGATATGGTCCCTCAAGGGCGGCCCCTCTGGGTGCAGCTCGGGAAGGTAGACGAAGTCGTCCGTATAGGACAGGTGGCGCCGGTGGTGGGTGGAGGGGTCGACCACTCGCAGTATATCCTCCTCCGTAACCTGGTGGGGTGGTAAGGACGCACCGAAGAATGGAAACTAAATTCCGGCACGGCTCCCACTTAATCCTCTCGAGGTGCAGCCTTGGCCGGTAGAAGTACCCCCACCCAGGCTGTGCAGCTGTCCGAGTGGAGTTGCCTCCAGGTGAAATGAGGAAATGATATCTGAATCCATCTTCCATTTGATCACCATGACTAATTCTATACGGGTGCACCCGTCCATATAGCACAGATTACGCCGATGGTGGATGGTGGTGGTCGTCCCACACTGAGGAAATGATATCTGAATCCCTCTGCCATTTGATCACCATGACTAACTCTATACGGGTGCAGGAATCCCACTGACCTTCATCCGTTACCTGTGGGCTGATGTCCTCTATAGCCACTATAGTAGCACCACCACCATTCGGCTGCCCACAGTGATACCTTCCTGTCTCTCTTAAGATCAAGTTCGAACGTGGCTATACTTGATTTTGTTTGGATAACTACCATGAGTGATTTAAGTGTTTCTCTGTATGGTAGTAACACTCAGATGGCACGGTGTTACCTTTTTGTCGCTCTTCAGGGTCAGGACGAACTGCGAGGCATCACGTCTTCTAATAAATCTCATGACTCCTCTACTCATGCGTATCTATATGATCATACCACTGTTGCCCATGGATGGTACGGTGGTACCTTTTTGTCGCTCTTCAGGACGAACTGCGAGGCATCGCGGGCGTGGAAGGGGTCAAAGTTGTTGACCACTCGCAGCTGCGCACATGAGCACACAGAGAGCAGATGGGCAGGAAACAAACAGGGATAGACGTGCATATGAATGTGGATGGGCTGATTCACACTGTCAACCAGGGACCACCTTTGCAGCGTGGCAGCAACGCGGCCCGCCGCCATGGCAGCAGGCAGGGGGGAGGGCGAGGGATGAACGCACACTGTGGCTACTGAAGGCCGTTTGAAAGGATGTTGCACCACTGGGGCTGTCAGTGTGAAGCCCCACCTGCTCGCTGGGCTACAGGTGCATGTGCTGCACGCCTTGCACCCCCTCCACCACCTCCACCACGCCCTGTGAGTCCGAGTCCGAGTCGGAGGAGATGGAGATGGGCCCTGTGCTGCTGCTACTGTTGCAAACGTTGTAGGCTTGAGATGGAAGGGTCTTGGACTTGTTTGGGATGGCGGGCTCATCTACACACCGGTGAACCTTCAAAATCACATGCTCCGTGGAGAGGAACGGCTGGATGTGGGTGCGGAAGAGCGGGCAGAGTGTTGTCTCTATGTCCTCTGCTGGCCTTGGCACGCTGCAGATGGAGGGTCTTAGCTTTATTCAGGATAATGGCTCATACACGCACAGGTGGTACTTGTACCTCACATGCGCGGTGGAGAGGAAGGGCAGGATTGGCGTGCGGAAGAGCGGGAAGAGAGTTGCCTCTATGTCCTCTGCTGGCCGTGGCATGCTGCAGGCTTGCAAATGAAGGGTCTGGTGCTTTCAGTATGGCTGGCTCAAGCATTCACATGTTAAACTCACATGAGCCGTGGAGAGGAAGGGCTGGATCTGCTGCGTGCGGAAGAGCGGGAAAAAATGTTGACTCCAATGCTTCTGCTCGACGTGGTATGCTGCAGGCTTGCAGATAGAGGGCCTTGGGTTTATTCAGGACAACGGCTCATGCATACACAGCTGAATCTTCAAACTCACATGTGCCGTGGAGAGGAAGGGCTGAATCTGGGTGCGGAAGAGCGGGAAGAGTGTTGCCTCCACTTCCTCTGCTGGTCGTGGCAAGCTGCAGGCTTGCAGGTCGGAGATAACTCGTGATGGCAGGTGCGAGTGCACTCCCCCGTCCTGTGAGGCAATGATGTCGTGGGATGAACAGATGTTTGCAAGAAGCAGCATGCTTCGCAGCGTTGCAGCTCGAACAGAACTTGTGACAAGAGGTGGGAGTGGAATGGGATTTTCCGTCCTTCAGCACAATGGCAAAAGAGGAGATTAACAAAGTATGTAGGTATGAGAGGGCATGGCAGGGCAGGGTATGTAAGGGCAGGGCATGGCATGGCTGGCATGGCATGGCTGGCATGGCATGGCTGGCATGGCATGGCTGGCATGGCATGGCTGGCATGGCATGGCCTGCCTTTCATGCTCCACTCACCACAGCAATGCGCAGGTCAAGTCGTTGTTGCAGGAGCGGATGCAGTGTGTGTGTTCCCTCCACCACCAGCTGATGGCGGCACAAGAGGGCGGCACCATAGGGCATGGCATGGTGTGGTGGAGTGGCAGGGCGTGGGATGGGATTGGATGGGATGGCGTGAAGGGAAAGGAAGGAGGGTTGGCAGGTTTAGGTGAGAAAGATTCACCTAGTACGGGGGCCAACTGCTGATGTATAAAATTCGACAAATGAGTTTTCCATAAGCAAGATGGCAAGATGATTGTTTTTTTTTTTTTTTTTTTTTTTTCATTATGTATATATCAGAATACACCGGTGAGGCAAGCGTATAAGAGATATATGTCAGTCGTAACTGAGCGCGAGAGGCCAACCCTCAGAGGTGGCCCCATGCGAGACTTCTAAGGCGGATGCAGAGCCCCCCTTGCAAGACTCCAAAGCGCGCCAAAACTGTGCGTCCACTTCCAGCCTTTTACCGACGGACAACGGATGCGTCCAAGCAAGCTGTCCTCCTGTCCTGCCAGCGCATGTGAATTGGTGTGTCCTTTCAAACCGCCGCTTTTTCCGAGCTTCTTCCCCATGGCACGCGTGTACACCCTCACATGCAACCGAAAGGCTGCCTCAATGCGCCTGAGGACGCGCCGAGCCCGGAATCTCTTCCCCCGAAACACACAGTCACACCGCTCCGCCCAGATCTGATGTATCGCAATGGCGGAAAGAGATGCTTCCGGAAACGCTGAGGCAGAGGCTGCTTTCCCGAACAGCAGGTCTCCCAGATCCGACACATGCCTCGCTGGGTTCAGTACACGCAAGGCCCTCCTGACTGCCCCCACCACTTGCTGGATGCGCAGGCAGCTGAAGAGGCAATGTTCTACAGTTTCGAATTCCCCACAGTGTGGGCACACCGGTTTGCCACTTAGGAAAGAGAGCCTCTCCCCCACTTGCAGGTTAAGACTGTGAATCCTAAGCAGCACGTCCCGCGGTCTATTCGGCGTCACCAGTGAGTCCCGGATCTTAATCACTTTTTTCCAGTCAATTTCGCCAGCCCATCTGCCCGCCCAAAGCTCCCTCTTGGCAGACTGATGCCTCTGCTTCGTCAAACGACCCTTCAACTCCCCTCAGCGACACCACCTGCCCATCCTTGAACAGTGCCGATTTCAGAAGGTGAGGAGCTGCAGACGGAGATGTCAGCTGCGGTAGCTCGGCAGACAGAAGACCCTCCTTCCAGGTCTGCGGCACAGCTTCCCAGGCCCGTAGAACCAGCTTCGCTTGTTTAGAGCCCCCTAACTCCTGTGTCAGCGTTTTCACATCCTTGACTTTTCGCCCCCCCGCGTCGTTCGGTAGCAACAGATCACCCAGCTGGAGCTCCCACAGCTTCGCCGCAGCCTTCTGGCCCCCTACTGGTGTCTTACCGTTGAGTAAGATGTTGCGATTGAAAACAATCCGCTCCGCTTCAATTTCCTCCCTCGTCAGGTCCGGCAGTGACTCTACCAGCGGCGACTGCATAAAGCTCCCGCAAGCCAGCTTCCACCTCTCACTTTTCCCACGCCAACACTTCAAGAGCTTCACATGAGCGACGAAAGTATCCGTCCCCAGTGGCAGGTCAGCCGCTTCCAGCATGATGTCTCGCTTCAGTTCGCACGTCTCCGTGAGCAGCAGCCCGATGCGTCTGGCTGCGAGGCAGGTGAGCTCTATTTCTGGATCTCGCACCCCCACACCGCCGTCTCCTCTTGCCATGTACAGTAGCTCCCGACTACACAGTATGAATTTTTTGTCGGTGACCGCGTGGTTGCCTGATACGAAGTTGTGCACCAGCTTTAAGATTCTCCCCCAAATGTCCACCGGCGGCGGATACACCTGCGCCTGGAAGAAAATGATTGGTGAGATATAGCAGTTGATTACCGCTACTCTGGCACCCGTCGTGAGATGCTGCGTCTCCCATTGTCTCAGTTTTTCCTTGATCCGTGCGAAAGCTTTTTCCCAGGTGGGGGTGCAGCTGCCAGCCGGCGTCACCCACACTCCCAGGAGTCTCTCCGCTTCGTCGGCCTTTACCCATTTGAAACCATCCGTCTTACAGGCCTGCTTGTTCAGGTTTCGCCCCAGAGGTAGAATGGATGACTTCTCCTTATTTGTTGCCAGTCCCAACTCCGCTTCGAAGTCCGCTAACAGCCGTTCTGCTTCCGCGATCTGCTCTTCTCCTTGCAGGATCAGGGTCGTGTCGTCGGCATAACCCAGATACGCCAGCCGCCGATTTCCCCTTTCGAGGCCAAGGTTCCTGGCAGCCGCCTGTTGAGCCAGTGGTTCCACCGCGCACAGAAAGAGGTATGGTGCGAGTGGACAACCCTGCCGCACTCCGGACACCACATCAACCGCTTCCCCCATCCAGCCGTTAATTAACAAGCTGGTCCGCGTATCCTTGTGCAGGCCCCGAACCCAGTCCACAAAGAGGCTCGGAAAGCCCATCCGCTCAAGCACCGTGAACAGGAAGCCTCTCGAGACTGAGTCGAAGGCTTTCCTGAAGTCGACCAGCAGGAGATACCAGTCGCGATCCTTGTTTTTCGCGGCTTCGATGACATCCGCGACCAGGCCCACTGCGTCCGATAATTTCCTGCCAGGCAAGAAACCATACTGCTCCGGGGAAATGACCTCGTGCAGCACCTTTTTCATCCTGTCCGCAACCACCCTTGCAATCACTTTGTAGGTGAAGCTCAGAAGCGTGATCGGTCTGTAGTTTTCAAGCTGATCTCTCCCCCCTTTCTTGTGTAACAGGATGGTGACCGCGTCCTTCGTGCTCGTCGGCAGCGTCGCCGTAGCCGCGAAATTCCGTGCAAGCTGCATGAAATGCTTGCCCAAGATGTCCCAGTGAAGCTCGAACAGCTCCTTCGGCAACCCATCTTTCCCGGGACCTTTGTCTTTCGCCATCGAGCGGAAGGCATTTTTCACCTCCTCCTCCGACCAGGCCATGCACACCGCTTCTGCCGACTTCCGCGACAAGGACCTCCCAGGAGCAGGCGACCAAGCGGGCTCAGCCTGCTGCCTGTCACAACCAAACAGCTCCCTGTAGTATTGTGACGCTGCCCCCAGAATAGCACCATTGTCTTTCACCAACTTCCCGCCTGCGTTTAACGCTGTAATCTGCGTCCGTCCCTTTCTGGCCTTGATTTTTGCCGACAGGTGCGGTGAGGCCACTTCACCCATGACTTCCTCCTTCATTCGTGCCATTACGTGTAACCTCTCCTGCCGAGCCAACTGATACCCCTTCAGCTGCGCCTCTCTTTCAACCAGCAAGCTTTTTAGTCGAGCACACCCCGGGTCTCCCAGCCACGCCTGCTTCAGCTCCGCAACCGACCGATGAAGGTGGGACATCGTGGCCCGAACTCTCTTCCACTCCTCTTTCGCGTACACTCGCAGAGCGGTGTTGAGGCGGGAGATTAGAAGCTCAAAGCCCTCCCCACATGAGTCTGCCTGCCGTTCCATAGCTTCAATCACCTTCCTGACTCCCAGTCTGTCCAACATGTATGCAGGTAGCCTCCAGAGCCCAGGGCCCAACTGCACCCGTGTGTTCATCCTGAAAGCCGCCTTCACTGCGAAACTGTGGTCAGAGATGGGGTCAGCCGGCATGATGTGCGAGACGAACTCGACATGCGCCAGCAACGACTGTGAGATAAGTGCCCTGTCTATACGCGAACTGGATTGATTGGCGCAGGAGTAGAAGGTAAATTCCCGCTTATATGGATGTAGCACTCTAAAAGCATCTGAGAGGCGGAAGGTATCACAGCGACGGTACAGCTCCTCATTTTCCTTCGTGGTTCCCTTCCTCGATGTCCGATCTAGCAGCGGATCCTCCACTAAGTTGAAATCCCCCATGATGAGCAGGTGAGAGCCCGGCTGCACCGCGTCAACCACCGGACCCAACACTCTGCGAATGAACACCTTTCGCTCAGCAGCATCAGCCGGGAAATAAACCACAACCAAGGTGATGTGGAAGGTGTCAAGATGAAGTTCAGCCGCTACCAGCCGGCCGGATGGATGAATGAGAGTGTTGCGCAATGACAGTCCGTGCCTCCGACAGATCAGAGCAACACCGCCAGCCTTAGCAGTGGGTGAGGCGACCAGGATCTGCGGCTGTCGAAGTGAATTCCAATAAGGGTGATCATCTGTGAGCCTAGAGTCAGACAGTATAACGATGTCCGCTGCCTGCTTCAACCAGTTTTTTGTTCGCTGTTGTTTATTCCCGTCCCCTTGGCCGTTGACATTCAGGCCTGCAAATGAAAGAAGGCTTTTCGCATTCATTTGACCACTGCTTTGAGGCCCCATCGCATCCACGGGCAGGCACAACCAGGTACAACTACACAGCCAAGGGAAAACGCCATTGCTACACAACTCTGCTTCCGACATGCAGGTAGGTAGCTCAGATCTGGTACTCCTTTCGGATGACGTGCAGACCAAGCTTCTCCAGGGAGCTGCGAGTGGCCGCACCCAACTTCTCCAAGCCCAGCAGATGGCTTGCCGACGTGATGTGATCTGCTGCAGCCATGAAGGACTTGCCATGGGTCTTTCCGCAGCTCTCGAGAGTACACAGCCATTCCTCCCGATTGCTCCCAGTGGAGATCAGCACGAAAGCCGCATCCAGCAGTAACGGAGTGATAAGCGGAGAAGCGCGGAGAGAAGCAGCGGCGAGGGGAAAGCAGCGCGTCAGTGACTGACAAGATACGAAAGGTAAAGCAACGACCCAACAAGCGTAAGCAGCGGTTACCATTGATCCTATGGACCCGACCCACAGTTAAACTCCACTTCCCTATGTTATTCTGACGCTCCGTGATGAAAACATTATGAAACTTGTCATAATGGTGGCCACCACAGAGCGGATAGGATAGCAACGGGTAGTGGGCCAACAGTGTCGTCCCTCCCAGCAGCTGATGGCGAAATTCATGACGCCCGCGATGCTTGTCGCCAGCGTGCTGAACCACCAGCCCCTTGATCCGATCAGTGTCAGCGCCGGTGACGGGGTGAAGGACACGGTGGAAGCAGTGGCCTTCAGCAAAAGCAGACTGCTTCCGCATCCTGAGTGGGTGAGTAACCATGACCTCCTTGACCAGCTCCGGCGGGATATCCGCGGGAACATCCTTAAAGTAGACCTCCAGCAGCTGCGGGCCCGAAGCCTTCTTGCGAAGGTAAGCGGCGTCCTCCTGGTGCAGCCAGAAACAATGAAGTGTCGATCCGTTCTGACGCTTGTGTTCCACCGCCGTTTGCTTGATTTTCACCGCGTCAGACTCATGCAGGAAGGAGACCTGAAGCCGGCTGTAGCGGGCCTTCGCGACCCACGCGGGGGTCAGCTCCTGGAACTTCACCGAGGCGAGGACCTCATCAGTGAGCAGGTTAGACCAGACACGCTTCATCAGCATCCTCACGGTCAGAATCACCGAATCAACCTCGCGAGAAGGAATAACCGGGAAGAGCAAAATCGCCGTGAAGCGCAAATGCGGGTGAGCACTCTTGGTCGTGTCAATCTCAAGTTCCTCGTCTGAATCATCCTCAATAAACGTGTCATCCGAAGCAACCGTAGCCAGCGCTTGCAGCTTTTCCTCAATGGTGAGACCAGAACTTCCAGCCGTCACCTCCGCTTCAGACGGAAGGTTGTCAATGACCTCCTTTCCCTTGCTTGGTGTCGACATGCTTGCAGATCACAACCACCAGCAGGAGCGTCAACCACCGCCTTAGCGCGAGAGCCTTTCGGAGGCATCGTGCAATGATGACTAAAGACTGGCAAAAGCTCTGAAGAAATGAGCTGGGGAAACTGATGAGCCGGTTGTCTGAGCACAGCAGAGTTAAGTACGTGAAGAGCGCCTGTGGAAGACCATTTTTCCTGACATAGATGTTGTGACGCTGAAGATAAAACTTCGGGATCATCCCGTTGCACAGCATCTGCGTAACCAATGAATGTTAGCTTAGGTGGTTCCTTGATGTTATGCCGTAACCTAGAGAACCACGCGTTAGCCTTGAGCTTTGAAACTTGGACCAGCGTAGGACACCCTTGAGAAGTCCACGCAATGTTCGTATGATGAACACATAATAGGTATAGACTTCTTCGTAAAGGTGTAGTGAAGACAATGCCGGTAGAATTAAAGCCAACTGATGATCGGGGTTCACGCAATGTGAGTTCCAGGCAAACGGTAAGCCGCCATGGCGGCGAGCCCGAGGGAAGCATGGTTGGGCATGGCTGCTTACTTCAAATGCCACGTCGATGGCAAGATGATTGTGCAATTCATGGTTGGGCCGAAAACGACTAGTATGAGAAATCTCACACACGACTAGTATGAGAAATCTCACACACGACTAGTATGAGAAATCTCACACACGACTAGTATGAGAAATCTCACACACGACTACAACAACAAGATGCAGGACGGCCTCCCTAGGTACTCACCACTCCGCTGCTGGCGTCACCACTCCCGTCCCGTGCTCCTCCTGCAGCATCCCACGATGCCTCAACTCCTGCTGCTGCTGCCCCTGCAGATGATACAGCTGCAGAAGAAACATCAGCACCATGCCCATGCCCATGCCCATGCCCATGCCCATCCCCATGCATGTGCACAGGGCGGTACCCCACTCTCCTCATCGTCCCAAAGTCAAACACCGGCATGACTGTGGGCCGCCCCTCCCCCACGTCCTGCAGCGTGCGGCGCAGCAGCGGCCAATCCACGACCGCCACGTCATCATAGTTGGTGCCGTCAGCTGCGTCGTTGAAAAAGGAGTCGAGGGAGAGGAGGTCGCAGGAGAGCAGACGGGCGAGGTTGCATGCGAGGCTCGTTTTGCCTGACCCGCTGGGTCCGCCTGGTGGGGGGTAAGGGACGCGAAACAAGGAAAGGGGGAATAAAGGGAGGACAAGAGTGGGTGGAGGGAGAGGAGGTCGCAGGAGAGCAGACGAGCGAGGTTGCACGCCAGGCTCGTTTTGCCCGAGCCACTGGGGCCTCCTATGAGAGTGGAAGAAACGGGATGGAAAGGGATGTAAAGGAACGGAAGGAGTCGAGGGAGAGGAGGCCGCAGGAGAGCAGGCGGGCGAGGTTTCACGCCGGGCTTGACTTGCCTGAACTGCTGGGTCCTCCTGGTGGTAGGGAAAGGACGGAAGGGGAAACAAAAGAGGGAAGAAAAGGACTCTGGCTAGGGAAGGTCGCGGGAGAGCGAGTGAGGATGCAGGCTAGACTGCTGTTGCCTGGGCCACTGGGTCCGCCTGGCGACAAAGAAGGGAAAGAAAAGATGGTAGGGGAGAAGTAAACAGGGGGAAAGAGTTGGTGGGGGAAGAGGGAGGTCGCAGAAGAGTAGAGGTCAAGGGGGAGGGAAGGGGAGCCGAGCCAGGCTGGTCTCGCCAGAGCTGCTGGGTCAGCATGGCTCTGGCAAGACCAGCACGGCTCGGCTCCCCGTAACCAACCGAAGTATACGTATGTCACCTTTGAGAATTCTCAAAAGGCAACTACAAGGAGGACAATACAAGGAAGAGAAAAAAATGGATGGGGCAAGTTTGGGGCGCGGAGGAGAAAGGAGCAGAGAGAACGTGGAAAACCAAGAGCAGAACGATTTTTGAGTCGACTCAAAAATCGCCTCATCACACACGATTTTTGAGTCGACTAAAAAATCGCCTCATCACACACGATTTTTGAGTCGACTAAAAAATCGCCTCATCACACACGATTTTTGAGTCGACTCAAAAATCGCCCCATCACACACGATTTTTGAGTCGACTAAAAAATCGCCTCATCACACACGATTTTTGAGTCGACTCAAAAATCGCCCCATCACACACGATTTTTGAGTCGACTCAAAAATCGCCTCATCACACACGATTTTTGAGTCGACTAAAAAATCGCCCCATCACACACGATTTTTGAGTCGACTCAAAAATCGCCTCATCACACACGATTTTTGAGTCGACTCAAAAATCGCCTCATCACACACGATTTTTGAGTCGACTCAAAAATCGCCTCATCACACACGATTTTTGAGTCGACTCAAAAATCGCCCCATCACACACGATTTTTGAGTCGACTCAAAAATCGCCTCATCACACACCAAGAGCAGAACATGATTTCTGGCGCATGAATCCCACACAACTGGACTTTTCCAGTGGAGAAAAAGGATTGTAAGGAAAAACGTTAATGATGGACGTGGGCTCGCCACTCTCTTATGCGGGACGGCGGAAACTCACCAATGCCACTATGACTGGAGGACCGTTGCTGCGAAGGAGTTTCTGCACAGGAGAAAAAAGGGTGGCAGACAGAGTTGGGTCAGGGAGGGGAGTGATGCACAAGAGAAGAGGGTGAGGAGTTAGGGGGACCCTAAACCCTAAACCCGCAGGCTCCGACGGACCCCTGGCCCCTGCAGCTAGGGGACCTCCTCCACACCCTGGAGTAAGGGGAGGTGCTAGGGGGCGGGTAGATGTGGAGAGGTGTATTTGCATGCTCAACCTGGTGCTCTCCGTCGACCGTCTTGCTTGTACCAATCACCGCATTCATACAAAGGACCGTTCGAGGGGAATGAATGGGTAACGAGTAATGAGAAAACACCCTAGTTCTCAAAACTCGAGAGACAGAGTTAGGTGAGCACACTTCCAAGACTCTTGGGATTGAAGAAGCTCCCAATCTGCGCAACTTTTTGACTGCTTCGCGTTTACCTCATCCGATAAACGCTACCGGCACTTGTGAATTTGAGGTGCCCCTGAACTCGCCATCTCATGTATGAACCCCTGTGTGTTCCAGATGCCTTGCCTGTCAGCATTCCGATGTTTGCGCGGCAGCACTCCCATCCCATGTTCAAGAATAACAAAAACCAGGCATCGGGACCACTCACCTGCACGCCCATCACAGCGAGACTGAGCCCTCGGTCGAAGTTGAACTGCTCTCGCTTCGGAATCAGGTCAAACCGCGCCCTCTGTACTGCCGATGCCTGCCCTCCCATTTCCTCCTCCACATCTCCCCTCCGCTCTGATGCACCTCCGCTCTCTTCCTGGCCTGGTCCCTCCCTTTCTCCGCCCCGCCTTGCAGCCCCTTCGTCCGCCATCCCGCCTCCCTGCTGCGCTCCCTGCACCACCCTCTGCTGCTCGCCCATACGCTGCCGGTCACCAAGCTCTTGACTGCCCGATCCTAGCTGGATTCTCTGCTGCTGCCTTGGATGCTGCTGCTGCATGTCGCTACCAGCAGCAGCAGCAGCAGCAGCAGCAGCAGCAGCCAGAGTCTCTCCCGTGGACGCTGCAAGGGTGGATTCAGTGTCATATACACCCTCGCCACCCGCTGCTCCCATCCCCTCTTCCGCAGCAGCAGCAGCAGCAGCACCATCGGTGCCGGCCCTGCTGCTGCTGCTGCTGGAGCTGACGATGGTAGTGCTAGTTACAGCACCAGTGGTGGTGTTCCCTGCAGTAGCAGCGGTGGTACTGAGAGGGGGTTCCGCCTCAGCCTCACCGCCAGACATGGCCTGCTGGATGATCTGAGTGTGCATGAGACCTACAGAGTCCGCCAGGCCTGTGAGGCCCCACGATGCCGGGGCAGTCATGGCTGCTGCTTCACTCGCCCTGGTAGGAGACCGCATCCACGGCTCCTGCTCCTCCACACCGCTCTCCACACCTCTCTCCTCCACCCGTCTCTCCCCCGGCCTGCTCTCACCCCGCCCGGCAGGTCTACCTCCCCCGGATGAGCCTGGCGAGCCGACGTTGATGGCTCGTGGGCGCTCAGGAAGAGGCGCAGAGGCAGCAGAGAGGGCTGCGGAGATGCGTGCAGGGAGAGGGGACTGGGAGGGAGGTGGTGAGACGGTGGAGGGGAAACGGGACTGGGGTGGAGGTGGTGATGCGGTGGAGGGGAGCTGGGATTGGTATGGAGGTGAAGGAATGTCAGAGTCGGATAGAGGAGGGGATTGAGAAGGAAAAGGAGGAGGGGGTGGTTGAGATTGGGAGGGTTCGGGTGTGGTGGAGAGGGGTGGGTGGGAGGAGGGGATGGAGAGGAAGGAAGAGGAGGGAGAGGAGGTGAGGGATTCGAGCTGTTCCAATTCGAAGCGCACCCAGGATGAGGAGAGGGGTGGGGTGGGCAGACGAGGGGCACCTGTGGGGACAAAGGGGAAGCATGTGACAGCGGGAGAATATGGGGGAAAGGGGTTTGTAATGAGGACTGTCGTTGTCAGGAATTAATGCGAACCCAGGAGGAGGAGAGGGGCGGCGTGGGCAGATGGGTGGCGCAGCAGGAGGGGACGGGGACGAGAGCAGGGTTTCCCCGGGGTGGAATAATGGGGTGACGAAGTGTTTGATTCAATGGTTTTCGAGCACGCAAAGCAACACTGGCATTGGCAAGTCAAGGCACACATATAGAACATATCATCCAACCAATTGGCAAGCCAATACATATCATCCAACCAATTGGCAAGCCAATACATATCATCCAACCAATTGGCAAGCCAATACATATCATCCAACCAATTGGCAAGCCAATACATATCATCCAACCAATTGGCAAGCCAATACATACCAGCATGGCGCATGACAATGTCGACATAAGCGTCCGTGACCCACGGTCCCTTCTACCCTCTTCCCACGTCTCCCCCCCATTTCCCGGCTTCCCCTTCCGAAGGGTGGTAGGGCGATGCATGCATACCAACATGGCGCATAACGATGTCGACATAAGCGTCCGTGACCCACGGTCCCTTCTACCCTCTTCCCACGTCTTCCCCCCCATTTCCCCGCTTCCCCTCCCGAAGGGTGGTAGGGCAATGCATGCATACCAACATGGCGCATAACGATGTCGACATAAGCGTCCGTGACCCATGGCCCCTCCAGTCACAGAGCCGCTGCTGCCGTCAACACTGTCTGTTGCATGATGAAAGGATAAGCGGCACAAACGGACCACGGGGAATGAGTAAGAAAAGAGAGGCATGGGGCATGGCGATGGCAGAAGGATGAGGATCACAGGGTGATGATGGATGGGTGTATGGAAGGGTGGGAGGATGGTTCATACGAATTCTCAGTAACCAACTATTCTCAGATGGGTGAATGGGTAGGGGAATGGGTGGTGGACGGATGGATGGGTGGGTGGATGGGTGGGTGGTGGGTGGATGGGTGGATGGATGGGTGGGTGGTGGTGGATGGGTGGGTGGATGGGTGGGTGGTGGGTGGATGGGTGGGTGGATGGGTGGGTGGTGGGTGGATGGGTGGGTGGATGGGTGGGTGGATGGACAAAAGGACAAGGACCTTTCCCCAACACACCTGTCTGTCTGGTCCCTTGATTTGAGTGTATGTGCGGCTGTGCCCCTCCCCCAGGTGAATGGTGTCGATGCACACTGAGTTCGCCGTTAGAGAGAACCACAGAGTCCAAAAGAGGGATGGGCTCACCTTTTCGGTTGTTCTATTGTGTCTGTAAGGCTCGGCGCACCAACCTTGTGGGCACACTCACGCACCTGCCTATCCGGCCCCTTGATTTGAGTGTATGTGCGGCTGTGCCCCTCCCCAAGGTGAATGGTGTCGATGCACACTGAGAGGTCTCCGTTAGAGAGAACCACAGAGTCTCGAGAGAAGCTGACTGCCACCGCGTAGGAGCACTGGATGAGACCGGGGAGCGTGGTGGAGGGGACCTGGGGGGAAGAGAGGGAGAAATGCGGGCATGGAATGAGAACCACAGAGTCTCGAGAGAAGCTGACTGCCACCGCGTAGGAGCACTGGATGAGACCGCGGAGAGTGGTGGACGGTACCTGTAGGGAGGGGGGGAGTTGAGGGGGTTGGAGTGGGGATAGTGGAGATAGTGGAACCAGGGAGTCTCGTAAGAAGCTGATTGCAATGGCGTAGGAGCACTGGATTAGACATGGGAGAGTTGTAGAGGGCACCTGGAGAAGGAACAGACGGTGGGGAGAACAGCAGAATGAAAAGAGAGCACAACGGGGTCTCGTGAGAAGCTGGCTGCCACGGCGTAGGAGCACTGGAGTAGACTGGGGAGAGTGGTGGATGGTATGGTAGCCACACAGAGGAAGTAGCTCACCTCAGCAGACGATTCAGTGCGCGGTCAAATGATGCGGCAGACGCTTAAAGCCCGCCTCGAACTTGGCTCAAGCCCACATGATGACGTGGATTCTTAAAGCCCACCTCAAACTCAGCCTGCGGGCGGCTGATGAAACTTCTGCCCACTGCACGTTGATTCTAACTGCCACCCGAGAGGAAGTAGCTCCGAGTCTCTTAAAGCCCAGCACGCCACTAACTATGAGAGCGCACCTCAAACTCGGCCCGCGGGTGGATGATGAAACTCCTGATAAAAGTTGTATTTTGAGACGTCTCAAAACGAACCCTAGGGGTAGACCTTTACTGAAAGGAGTGTAGTCGGTCTTCAACACCAAGGGTCCGTGAGGTCTCGGTTCTGATCCTGTAGAAGTAGATCGAAGCAGTTGCCGTTGGCGAGCTTGATGAAGTAGCTCTTCTCGTTGAATGTAAGTGACGGCCGTAAAGAGCGGTAGCAAGAAGTTAGGCGGATTTTTGAGTCGACTCAAAAATAGAGTCGACTCAAAAAAGAAGTGAGGCGGATACCCTCTGGAGCGTAGCCTCTTGAAGAAGGCTTGCTTCAGGCTGCAGAAGTCGTCGAAACTGGAGCTTCTGAGCAGATAGCGTTTCAGCTCCGAGCGGATAAACCCCTCTTTACAGTGTCGTGGATGGAATGAAGAAAATGGTAAGTACAGGTAGATGTTGTTTGGTTTCTGGAAGGTGGAGATGTCCAGTAGACCGGTGCTTCTGTAGCGCTGTCCCTTATGTACGACTAGATCTAAGAAGTCTACGGAAACTTAAGAGATGGTCCAGGTGAGCTTGATGGATGGTCGAAGCGCATTGAATGTAGCGAGGTACTCCTCTAGCCCCTCCCTACTCCCCTCCCAGCAGATGAAGCCGTCGTCAATGTAACGAAGGTGGAGCAGCGGAAGTTTATTTCCCATGCGCGATCGTAGCAATTCGTCCAACCTGCTCATGTAAAGGATGGCGAAGCAAACAGCTACGGAGGTTCCCATCGCCGTCCCTTGTATCTGCCGAAACAGCCTCCCGTCAAAATCCACATACGAATTGAACATCACCCACTCCAGCAACGCGACAATAACAGGCGCGTTAGGGAAATTAAGCGGATCTCGGTCTCAAAAAGAATTCACAAAATCGACGCCTTCCCGGAGCGGAATGGATGGGTATAAAGCTTGGACATCGTAAGTAGCGAGCAGGAGGTTGTTCGGAAAAGGGGTCTTCTCTAGGTGGAGAAGCAGCGACAAAGAATCCTTCAGGTCCGTAGGCTGCCGGAGTACAAGTGGTCGTAGTGCCGTATCAAGCCAGCGGCTCACATTCGCGGTAACCCAAGAATGCGACGCAGCGATTGGTCGACCAACAGGTACTTTCTTATGGACTTTCATTATGACATAGAAGATGGCGGGTTTCCAGCCGTTGGTAGGTGGGTGTTGAAAGTAATTCCAGAGATGCCTAGGCAGCAGCGGATCAAAGTTGAAACGGATGTCTGATAGCTTGGCAAGTACTGTGATTCGATGATCCTCAAAATCCGGAGCCGAGGTCAAGACTTCCTTGCAAGTATTCCTGTCCAGAAGGTGGTTAAAACACTCCTTGATGTAATCAGATCTATTCATCAAGGTGATTCCCAGGTTCTTATCAGCCGGCTTGATGATAAGGTCGGTGTTGGAGGCGAGCTCGGTAATGGCCTTAATAATAACCTTTGGGAAGGAAAGGCCCTTTACGAACAATCGGTTGAGTAAACATGATTGACAAATCTTTCATTGTCTCCTCAAACACTGCTTCCAGCATCTCGTCCTTTTCAGGTAGCCAAATCAGGTTGCTGACGCGGAAGCAGCTGTCGGAACGGCCCTCCCCTTTAAAGAACTCTTGAAGTCTTATCGACCTGAACAGATTGGTAAAGTCTTTAGCGATGTCAGAGGGTGAAAAAGGTGGAGCGTGCGGCAGAAAAAACTTAAGCCCAAGTCCCAAAACATTGTGTTCAGCAGGTGTCATGGTGTGTTCAGTTCCAAAACATTGTGTTCAGCAGGTGTCAAGGTGTGTGAGCTCAAGTGGTGCACTCCCTGGTTGATGATGCGGGTCTTTGCCTCAGACTCGGTCATCCGTCCAAACCAGCGGAGTGCGAGTTCATGGCTGGTTACCTGCGCTGACCCCTTGCGGGGCCTCCTCCGCCGTTTTTTGGGCGATGAGGATACCATCTTTTCTTCTTCTTGTCCCCCTTGTCATCCACAGGTACAGACTGTTGCTGCTGCTGCTGCTGCTGCTGCTGCTGCTGGGCCTGCTGCTTCGGCTGCTTCTGTGGCTTCTGCTGCTGTCCCTGCTGCTGCTGCTGCTGTCCCTGTTGCTGCTGCTGCTGTTTCTGTGTAGAAGATGACTTATTAAGCAGTTCCAGCTTCTCAAGGCGTTGAAGGACCGCAAAGATTTTAGAATCCACTACTTCTTTGGCCACTTCTCGCATACTGGGCTCAGTCTCCATATTCTGGAGCTCCTCGTGAGCTGCTTTCTTGATCATCTCTGCCTCATTCTTTAAACGCTGATTCTCATGGAATTCCATGAAGGCTTTTGTCTGCTGAATCTCAATAGCTATATTAGCTTCCTGGATAAGAACTCCCTTGAAAAAATCCATGACCTCAATAGCTTTGTTACGTCTTGGATCTTCCTCCATGGCTTTAATGCCATTGATATATTGGAAATTTGTCCATCCAGGAAAGAGACTGCACTCTTGGCTTCAGTAAGAGCCGTAGCCATGAGTTCTTCTTTTGCACCAATGAAAACCTTCTGCTGCTTCTTAAGGGCTTCAATATGTAAAGAAGAAATCTTGTCATCAACGACCTTTTTGATTGCTTCGTTGGAGGTTTGAAACTGAACGGTCTTAGTCCTGATACTGTGTAGTAGTTCTCCACGGCCATCAATCAGCTTCATCTTAGCAACCTGTTGCTTGAGGCTCAAATAGGTATTGTATGACGTAATTGCTCTGGAGATAGCTTCATGCTGCAACTTTTATCACGTGGCTATATTTTTTCTGGTTCCTGTAGATTTGTGTTGGCGTGGAGGTTACCATCCCGCTTACGCCGAAGATTGATACAGCCGAAGTTGCGACCAGCAGCTGCAGCGAACTATCCGCGCGACAATGTGGTTACTCCACCTCTTTGACCCCGGTTTCCTAAACCACCCTGGCGACTCCAATTGTGTCCCCTCGGGATTGGGTTGAAGTCGTCTGCTCGCATCGACGCCTCATCTTGCATTCACTTTTTCCTTTCCGACATCATCCTGGCAGCCTAGTTTGAGCATAGAGTACTTAGTCAGTCTGCGTCTTCTCAGATCCTTAGTTTCAGGCTTGTACTGATGAAGGCTTGCAAAAGCCGAAACTAGTTTACACAATCTTCTAATTCTAAGTGAAGAGTTGATACATACTGGCTCTCTAAGAAACGCTCTCAGCTAGCGCAACACCAGGTTTTCCTTTTCCATTTTTCATGGAGTTTGTTTCTCTGTCCTAAACAGCAAGAGTTGATGGAAATAAGGCCTCCGCAGCCCACCTGTTCCACTTCGACAGCTCCTGTCCACCTCACGTTGATCCCCCACTGAGAGGAAGTAGCGGATGCCGCACTGCCGCACTCGAAACCACTCCCACCTCAGCTGTGAGGAGCCCACCAAAGAAGCCTTACCCGCCTACTGACGCGCACCTCAAACTCCGCCCGTGGGCGGATGATGAAGCTGCGGTCGACCACACGTTGGTCTCCCACCGATAAGAAGTAGCGGATGCCGCACTGCCGCACTCGGATCCACTCCTTGGTGCGCGTGGGGTTGTGGGGGGGAGAGAGGTAGACGTCCACGTATCTGCAGGGGGGGGAGAGGGACATGTTGTCCGGTAAGGTGGGAGGGTGAGGCATAGAAATGCCGCACTGCCGCACTCGAATCGACTCCTTGGTGCGCGTGGGGTTGTGCGGTGGTGAGAGAGATACACGTTCACGTAGCTGGAGGAGGGGAGGGCGAGACAGGTTGGGGGGGAAGGGGAGGGGGTGAGGCCCAGGGATGCGGCGGGAAGTTGCAAATGCTGCACTGCCTCACCCAAATCTACTCCTTGGTGCGCGTGGGGTTGTGGGGCGGGTAGTGAGTCGAGTTTTGAGTCGACTCAAAACTCGACTCACTACACCCAAATCTACTCCTTGGTGCGCGTGGGGTTGTGGGGCGGGTAGTGAGTCGAGTTTTGAGTCGACTCAAAACTCGACTCACTACACCCGAATCTACTCCTTGGTGCGCGTGGGGTTGTGGGGCGGGTAGTGAGTCGAGTTTTGAGTCGACTCAAAACTCGACTCACGACACCCAAATCTACTCCTTGGTGCGCGTGGGGTTGTGGGGCGGGTAGTGAGTCGAGTTTTGAGTCGACTCAAAACTCGACTCACTACACCCAAATCTACTCCTTGGTGCGCGTGGGGTTGTGGGGCGGGTAGTGAGTCGAGTTTTGAGTCGACTCAAAACTCGACTCACGACACCCAAATCTACTCGGTGCGCGTGGGGTTGTGGGGCGGGTAGTGAGTCGAGTTTTGAGTCGACTCAAAACTCGACTCACGACACCCAAATCTACTCCTTGGTGCGCGTGGGGTTGTGGGGCGGGTAGTGAGTCGAGTTTTGAGTCGACTCAAAACTCGACTCACGACACCCAAATCTACTCCTTGGTGCGCGTGGGGTTGTGGGGCGGGTAGTGAGTCGAGTTTTGAGTCGACTCAAAACTCGACTCACTACACCCAAATCTACTCCTTGGTGCGCGTGGGGTTGTGGGGCGGGTAGTGAGTCGAGTTTTGAGTCGACTCAAAACTCGACTCATGACACCCAAATCTACTCCTTGGTGCGCGTGGGGTTGTGGGGCGGGTAGTGAGTCGAGTTTTGAGTCGACTCAAAACTCGACTCACGACACCCAAATCTACTCCTTGGTGCGCGTGGGGTTGTGGGGCGGGTAGTGAGTCGAGTTTTGAGTCGACTCAAAACTCGACTCACTACACCCAAATCTACTCCTTGGTGCGCGTGGGGTTGTGGGGCGGGTAGTGAGTCGAGTTTTGAGTCGACTCAAAACTCGACTCACGACACCCAAATCTACTCCTTGGTGCGCGTGGGGTTGTGGGGCGGGTAGTGAGTCGAGTTTTGAGTCGACTCAAAACTCGACTCACGACACCCAAATCTACTCCTTGGTGCGCGTGGGGTTGTGGGGCGGGTAGTGAGTCGAGTTTTGAGTCGACTCAAAACTCGACTCACTACACCCAAATCTACTCCTTGGTGCGCGTGGGGTTGTGGGGCGGGTAGTGAGTCGAGTTTTGAGTCGACTCAAAACTCGACTCACGACACCCAAATCTACTCCTTGGTGTGCGTGGGGTTGTGGGGCGGGTAGTGAGTCGAGTTTTGAGTCGACTCAAAACTCGACTCACTACACCCAAATCTACTCCTTGGTGCGCGTGGGGTTGTGGGGCGGGTAGTGAGTCGAGTTTTGAGTCGACTCAAAACTCGACACACCCAAATCTACTCCTTGGTGCGCGTGGGGTTGTGGGGCGGGTAGTGAGTCGAGTTTTGAGTCGACTCAAAACTCGACTCACTACACCCAAATCTACTCCTTGGTGCGCGTGGGGTTGTGGGGCGGGTAGTCGAGTTTTGAGTCGACTCAAAACTCGACTCACGACACCCAAATCTACTCCTTGGTGCGCGTGGGGTTGTGGGGCGGGTAGTGAGTCGAGTTTTGAGTCGACTCAAAACTCGACTCACGACACCCAAATCTACTCCTTGGTGCGCGTGGGGTTGTGGGGCGGGTAGTGAGTCGAGTTTTGAGTCGACTCAAAACTCGACTCACTACACCCAAATCTACTCCTTGGTGCGCGTGGGGTTGTGGGGCGGGTAGTGAGTCGAGTTTTGAGTCGACTCAAAACTCGACTCACTACACCCAAATCTACTCCTTGGTGCGCGTGGGGTTGTGGGGCGGGTAGTGAGTCGAGTTTTGAGTCGACTCAAAACTCGACTCACTACACCCAAATCTACTCCTTGGTGCGCGTGGGGTTGTGGGGCGGGTAGTGAGTCGAGTTTTGAGTCGACTCAAAACTCGACTCACGACACCCAAATCTACTCCTTGGTGCGCGTGGGGTTGTGGGGCGGTTAGTGAGTCGAGTTTTGAGTCGACTCAAAACTCGACTCACGACACCCAAATCTACTCCTTGGTGCGCGTGGGGTTGTGGGGCGGGTAGTGAGTCGAGTTTTGAGTCGACTCAAAACTCGACTCACGACACCCAAATCTACTCCTTGGTGCGCGTGGGGTTGTGGGGCGGGTAGTGAGTCGAGTTTTGAGTCGACTCAAAACTCGACTCACTACACCCAAATCTACTCCTTGGTGCGCGTGGGGTTGTGGGGCGGGTAGTGAGTCGAGTTTTGAGTCGACTCAAAACTCGACTCACGACACCCAAATCTACTCCTTGGTGCGCGTGGGGTTGTGGGGCGGGTAGTGAGTCGAGTTTTGAGTCGACTCAAAACTCGACTCACGACACCCAAATCTACTCCTTGGTGCGCGTGGGGTTGTGGGGCGGGTAGTGAGTCGAGTTTTGAGTCGACTCAAAACTCGACTCACTACACCCAAATCTACTCCTTGGTGCGCGTGGGGTTGTGGGGCGGGTAGTGAGTCGAGTTTTGAGTCGACTCAAAACTCGACTCACGACACCCAAATCTACTCCTTGGTGCGCGTGGGGTTGTGGGGCGGGTAGTGAGTCGAGTTTTGAGTCGACTCAAAACTCGACTCACGACACCCAAATCTACTCCTTGGTGCGCGTGGGGTTGTGGGGCGGGTAGTGAGTCGAGTTTTGAGTCGACTCAAAACTCGACTCACGACACCCAAATCTACTCCTTGGTGCGCGTGGGGTTGTGGGGCGGGTAGTGAGTCGAGTTTTGAGTCGACTCAAAACTCGACTCACGACACCCAAATCTACTCCTTGGTGCGCGTGGGGTTGTGGGGCGGGTAGTGAGTCGAGTTTTGAGTCGACTCAAAACTCGACTCACTACACCCAAATCTACTCCTTGGTGCGCGTGGGGTTGTGGGGCGGGTAGTGAGTCGAGTTTTGAGTCGACTCAAAACTCGACTCACTACACCCAAATCTACTCCTTGGTGCGCGTGGGGTTGTGGGGCGGGTAGTGAGTCGAGTTTTGAGTCGACTCAAAACTCGACTCACGACACCCAAATCTACTCCTTGGTGCGCGTGGGGTTGTGGGGCGGGTAGTGAGTCGAGTTTTGAGTCGACTCAAAACTCGACTCACGACACCCAAATCTACTCCTTGGTGCGCGTGGGGTTGTGGGGCGGGTAGTGAGTCGAGTTTTGAGTCGACTCAAAACTCGACTCACTACACCCAAATCTACTCCTTGGTGCGCGTGGGGTTGTGGGGCGGGTAGTGAGTCGAGTTTTGAGTCGACTCAAAACTCGACTCACTACACCCAAATCTACTCCTTGGTGCGCGTGGGGTTGTGGGGCGGGTAGTGAGTCGAGTTTTGAGTCGACTCAAAACTCGACTCACTACACCCAAATCTACTCCTTGGTGCGCGTGGGGTTGTGGGGCGGGTAGTGAGTCGAGTTTTGAGTCGACTCAAAACTCGACTCACGACACCCAAATCTACTCCTTGGTGCGCGTGGGGTTGTGTGGCGGGTAGTGAGTCGAGTTTTGAGTCGACTCAAAACTCGACTCACGACACCCAAATCTACTCCTTGGTGCGCGTGGGGTTGTGGGGCGGGTAGTGAGTCGAGTTTTGAGTCGACTCAAAACTCGACTCACTACACCCAAATCTACTCCTTGGTGCGCGTGGGGTTGTGGGGCGGGTAGTGAGTCGAGTTTTGAGTCGACTCAAAACTCGACTCACTACACCCAAATCTACTCCTTGGTGCGCGTGGGGTTGTGGGGCGGGTAGTGAGTCGAGTTTTGAGTCGACTCAAAACTCGACTCACGACACCCAAATCTACTCCTTGGTGCGCGTGGGGTTGTGGGGCGGGTAGTGAGTCGAGTTTTGAGTCGACTCAAAACTCGACTCACGACACCCAAATCTACTCCTTGGTGCGCGTGGGGTTGTGGGGCGGTGAGAGATACACGTCCACGTAGCTTAAGAAGGCTTTTGAGGCGCCTCAAAAGTCCACGTAGCATAAGAAGGGGTGGAGGGGTGTTTTGAGACGTGGGGACATACTTGCTTGGGGGTTATAGCAAGTGTGTGTCTTCATCAGAAGAGGTGACAGATAGTCGTCTCGTGTGGTGAAGTGTTGACTTTTGGTACTCGCTGTGTGTGATGCCATGTCTCAAGTGGGGTTTCTTAACCAAGGTATTGACTACTGAGTCGCCTTGCCAGCTCACCGGTACTCGTTGCGTGTGGTACGGGTCGACCCCAACACCTGTTTCACTCTGTCCTCTGCCACCTGGCTTGCAGGCATGACACGTCAGCATGTTCAAGGGGTATATTGTTGTGGGGAGGGGAACGGTGGCGAGAATATGGGAGGGTTGAACACAGGCTGTGGTGGAAAAGGGTAGAGTGATACAACACTTCGTGAGCACCTGAAGTGAACAAAACAGCTACCAGATAAGTGATATTGACCAGACATAATTTATTAACACGTGGAATGAACAAGTGGAGCAAATTGAGACTCACAGTTTGGTCAGACTTGAGAATGTAGAAGGGATGACGGAGGGAGTCGGCCACAAAGCTGTTGCTGATGCGGATCTGAAAGGGAGAGCAGCGTGTGGGGAGGGGGAGAGAAGGAGGAATGGCGGGGATGGAGGGGGCTGCTGAGCTGGCTGGATGTGGAGCAGGAACGCCAGGGGAGACAGAGTGCATGGCAGGGCAGGGCACCAGTGACGAGTCGTGTTTTGAGTCGACTCAAAACACGTCGCAGGGCACCAGTGACAGCTGGCTGGCTGCTGGATGCCCAACGGCTACCACGGCCTTCATCCCATAAAGGTTCATTCCACAAGCTCTACCTCTGCATGCGCCAGTGTGGGCTCGATGTGGAGAGAGAATGCCAGGAGGACAGAGTGTTAGAATTGCCATGTTCTAGCATGCTAACACTTGTGACTGTACACCAATTGTGGTGTACAGTTGGGTTGGGACTACACCCAACTTTGGGTGTAGTCTTGCATTTTGGGGTGCCAATCCAACCCAATTGTGGTGGAGCCCCCAAATGCAACCCATTGGGCCATAGGTTGGCCCACTCTCACAAAGTGAGGCCAACCCAACCCAATGGGCCATAGGTTGGCCCACTCTCACAAAGTGAGGCCAACCCAACCCAATGGGCCATAGGTTGGCCCACTCCCCCAAGTGTGGCCAACCCAACCCAATGGGCCATAGGTTGGCCCACTCCCCCATTCCCACCTCCCTCCTTTCCTTTCCAACCCTCTCTTCCCAAAGCTATGTATGCTTGCCAATCTTCTAATCAAACTAATGCTTGAGTTTCATTTCTTTACATGGTATAGAGCAAGGTTCCCCTATGGCCTTCCTTTCCCCCTCCAATTTTTCTTTCCCAAGGGCCCACCATACGCTTCCCTCACGCCGCGACCTTTCCGTCGCCGTCGTCCCCTCCCCCTCTCCCCCTCCTCATCTCGGCACCTTCTCGCCGCGACCTCCCCGCCGCCGCGTCCCGCCGATTTCGCCGCCGCGTCCCCTCCACCCGCCGATTTCCCGCGAATTTCCCCGCCGCCGCGGATTTCCCGCGAATTCCCCGCGGATTCCCCCGCCGCCGCGGATTTCCCGCGGATTCCCCGCGCATTCCCGCCGCCGCCTGCCCTCCCCGCCCCCGCGACCATTTTGTCGCGAATTACCCGCGGATTCCCCCGCCGCCGCGAAGTTCCCGCGGAATCCCCGCGGATCCCCGTCGCTGCCTGCCCTCCCTGCCCCCGCGACCTTTTCGTCGCGAGTTACCCGCGGATTCCCCCGCCGCCGCGAATTTCCCGCGGAATCCCCGCGGATTCCCGTCGCCGCCTGCTCTCCCCGCCCCCGCAACCTCTTCGTCGCGGATTACCCGCGAATTCCCCCGCCGCCGCGAATTTCCCGCGGAATCCCTGCGGATTCCCGTCGCCGCCTGCCCTCCCGGCCCCCGCGACCTTTTTCGTCGCGAATTTCCGCGAATTTCCAGCGGCATTCCCCGTCGCCGTGCATTCCCCGCGGATTTCCTGCGGAGTTCCGTCGCCACCTGCCCTTCCAGCCGCCGCGACCACGCCGTCGCCGCCTGCGCACCCCTACCGCCGTGACCGCGCTGCCATCGCCCGCGGTTTCCGCCGCCGCGACCACATCGTCGCCGCCTGCCCATCCCATCTCCTTCCCCTCTCCGCCTCCCCCCCTCTCCTTGCAGCTACAGCCGCGGCAGCAGCAGCAGCAGCGACAGCAGCAGCAGCGGCAGCAGCAGCAGCAGCGGCAGCAGCAGCAGCAGCGGCAGCGGCAGCAGCAGCAGCAGCTGCAGCAGCGGCAGCAGCAGCAGCAGCGGCGGCGGCAGCAGCAGCAGCAGCAACGGCAGCAGCGGCGACAGCAGCAGCAGCAGCGGCAGCAGCAGCAGCAGCGTCTTCCCCCGCAGCGGCAACAGCAACGGCAGCAGCGACATCAGCAGCAGCCGTGCCAGCCGCGCCCGTGACTGCTCCCTCCTTCCCCTCCCCCTCTCCCCCTCTCCCTCCATTACTCCCTCTCCCCTCTCCTCGACGCAGCTGCAGCAGCTACAGCCGCGGCAGCAGCGGCAGCGGTAGCAGCAGCAGCAGCAGCAGCAGCGGCAGCAGCAGCAGCAGCAGCAGCAGCAGCAGCAGCAGCAGCAGCAGCAGCAGCAGCAGCAGCAGCAGCAGCAGCAGCAGCAGCAGCAGCAGCAGCAGCAGCAGCAGCAGCAGCGGCAGCAGCAGCACCAGCGGCATCCCCAGCAGCAACACCAGTGGCAGCTGCGCCAACCGCGCACGTGACTGCACTCTCCTTCCCCTCCCCCTCTCCCCCTCTCTCTCCGCCTCTCCCTCTCCCCTCTCCTCGCAGCAGCGGCAGCAGCTACGACCACGGCAGCAGCGGCAGCAGCAGCAACAGCAGCAGCAGCAGCGGCAGTCGTGCTAGCCGCGCCCGTGCCTGCACCCTCCTTCCCCTCCCCCTCTCCCCCTCTTCCTCCGCCACTCCCTCTCCCCTCTCCTCGAATCAGCGGCAGCAGCTACAGCCGCGGCAGCAGCAGCAGCAGCAGCAGCAGCAGCAGCAGCGGCAACAGCAGCAGCAGCGGCAACAGCAGCAGCAGCGGCATCCCCAGCAGCAACGACAGCACCGGCAGCAGCACCATCAGTGGCAGCCGTGCCCGCCGCGCCCTTGACTGCACCCTCCTCCCCCTCCCCCTCTCCCCCTCTCCCTCCGCCTCTCCCTCTCCCCTCTCCTGCCAGCAGCAGCAGCAGCCGAGGCATCCCCAGCTGCAGCAGCAGCAGCGGCAGCGGCAGCAGCAGCAACAGCAGCAGCAGCGGCAGCGGCAGCAGCAGCAACAGCTGCAGCAGCAGCAGCCGGAGGTGTCCAGCAGCAGCACCTCCCCCTCCCCCTGGCCGCCGCGGGTCCACCCGCCGTCGCCTCCCCCTTGACCGCCGCGGGTCCACCCGCCGTCGTCTCCCCCTTGGCCGCCGCGGGTCCACCCGCAGCCGCCCATCATGGCCAACACCCCTCCTGTTCCTCTCCCCCCTCCTATCAACGCCTCTTCGGTTGACAAGCTGCAGCTTGCTGCAGATCGTTCCGCCATCAACTGGCACTCGTTCGTCGGCAGCATTCGCCGCGTCCTTCAAGATGCCTTCGTCGGACCCTACTGCGTCCTTGACGTCCTCCTTCGCCGTCCGCAGGCTCTCCAACCAACCGCACCCAATCACCCTGGCGAACCTCCTCCCCTCCCCCCCCCGCCCTGGCCCCCCTCCTCCTGAGCCAAACCTGACCGTGGCTACTACCCCCGAGCTTCAGGCTGCTGCGGACGCCACCTTCCACCACAACCGCCGCGAATACCTCATCCGCAAGGCCGACCATGACGTTGCTCTCCTCAACTATGAGTTTGCCTCGTCAGAGCGTTCCACTCGCCTGGAGCTGATTGCCGAGTACAACACCTCCATGGCGGCTTATGTCCCCAACAGCGTTGCCTGGGCCGCTGCCGACAACCGCGCTTGCACCATCCTCCTTGGTGCACTCCCCGACGCCCTTATGCACCGCTTCCAAGCTCGCGAGATGCGCGCTCACCTCATTTGGACAGAGCTCCAGTCTATGTTCGAGCGTCGCGACATCAGCTCTGTTGGCATTCTCTTCCAGGAGTATTTCTCCATCACCCTTGCCACCTGCGACGGCGCAGTCGACTATGTCGGGCGCATGCAGGAGGTTGCCGATCGCCTTGCCGCTCGCCAGGCTGCCCTTTCCGAGCCCCTGCAGATCCACCGTCTGCTCTTCAACCTCACGCCAGACTGAGTCCCGCCTTCACGCCTTCACCGAGGCAAACCCCTTGGCTGGCCTCCCCGAAGTGACGCAGTGGATCATTGACACGGAGGTCAAGCTCCGCACCCCCATTGTCAAACTCACCACCACTCACTCCTCCTCCACCTCCCTCAATGCCACGCAGCCGCGCACTCAGGGTGGTCGCAACGGCGGTAGTGGGGGTCGTGGAGGGGGTGGAGGTGGCAGTCGGGGTGGTGGCCGTGGTGGCCGTGGTGGCAGTGGTGGTGGTGGTGGTCCTAGTGGTCCCGCTCCCGGAGGCTCCTCTAGTGCTGGTGGAGTTGTGAGCCGTGGTGGTGGTCGCCCTGAGACTCTTCCCCCCTGCACGTATGTTCGCCGCCATGGTCCCCACACCGGCACACCGTGTGGTCAGACCAACCACCCCCCTGCCACCTGCTTCAAGGCGCTTGATGACGCCTGGTTCGACCGCGGCAACACTGGTACCCCTCCTCGCTGGAACGGTGTTACCCCTCGCCCCTCCCTCGTGGACATTCAAACCCTCCCCTCCTTCCTCCCCGCTCACCTCCGTCTACTCACCCCTTCCCCCCCCTCCCAGCTCCAGCAGTTTCAGCAGCACCTGCAGCACCAGCACCAGCAGCAGTACTTCCCGCAGCAGCAGCAGCCGCAGTTTCTTCCGCAGCAGCAGCCGCCGCACTTCCAGCCGCAGCAGACCCCACAGCAGCAGTTCTTCCAGCAGCAGCAGCCGCCACAGTACCTTCCGCCGCAGTGGCAGCAGCAGCCGATGACCTTCGGCGCGGCGGCCATGGCTGCTCATGCCTCCCTAACTCCCCCCACCTGGGGTTCCATTCCCTCTAGCCCCCCGAGTGTCCCTGACTCTCGGGGCAGTTTCCTTGGTCATGTTACTGCTGCACCATCCATCGCTTCCATGTATCCCTCTGCTATCAATGAAACGTCATTCCAGTACCACGTGTCGCCTCCCCGTCCTTCCTCCCCCACCTTGGACTTTGTCCTTGACAGTGGGGCCACAGAAACCACACTCAAAGACGCTGGCACCCTCACTCCCCTCCCACTTCCCACCCAGGTTCATGGTGCTGACTCCAGCTTCTCCATCCCATGCACTCACCTCTCCACCCTCCCCTGCACCGCTTTCCCCTCCGGTAAGGTCACAGGTCTCCACATCCCTACCCTTCGCAACAACCTCCTCTCTCACCGAGAACTCCAAGGTGTCGGTATTACCGCCATTTACCCCGGCTTTGCCAATTATTGTGATCTCTACCAAACCTCCTCTGGTCGCTATCTCCTGCGCATTCCCCTTTGCCCCCGCACTCGCCTTTACACGCTCCGCACACCCCGTCCCTCTTTCTGTCATGTTACCACTCGTGCTGGTACTTCCACCGGTCCTCCTCCCCCTCTCCCCCCCCTCAGGTATCCCCCTCCCCTGCTTCACTTCCCTCCTCCCTCCCCACTTCTTCCTCCACCCCCTCCCCCTCCTCCTCCACTGCCCTCTCCCACCCAGTAGTCATTCTGCATCACAGACTCGGCCATCCCAACTTCGCCGCACTTCGCACCACTGTCACCTCTCGCCTCCTTCACAGCCTCCCTCCCACCTTACCTCCCCTCCCCTCCTCTCCTGCTCCCCCATGCCCATCATGCATTCATGGCAAGCTTAAGCAATCCCCCCATCACAGCCATCCCACCTTTGCTGCCGCCCCCATTGACCTTGTCCACATGGATCTCTGGGGTCCCTATCCCATCCGCTCCCGTCAGGGGCACAGGTACATGCTCGTCCTCGTTGACGACCACAGTCGGTACTCCACTGTCTTTTTCCTCCACACCAAAGACCAGGTGTCGGCTGTTGTCATCGACTGGGCTGAGCAGTGCCGCACTCACTTCAAACGCCCCATTGGCCGCCTTCACTCTGACGGTGGGGGTGAGTTCATCAACCACACCCTTGCCACCTTTTGCAAACTTCATGGCATCCAGCAAACTTCCACCCTCCCCCACTCCCCTCAGCAAAATGGCATTGCTGAGAGTCGCATCCGCGAAATCACCAAAATTGCCCGTTGTCTCATTGCTCACGCCTCCACCCCTCCCTCCCTTTGGAGCTATGCCCTTCTCCATGCCGCCCTCCTCCTCAATCTCCGCTCCCACCCTCAGCATCCCTCCTCTTCCCCCACAAAACTCGGGTATAAGGCCAAGCCTGACGCTATCGGCCTTCGCGTTTGGGGCTGCAAGTCCTTCGTCCTCATCCCACCGGCCGATCGCTCCCGTGCCGCCGGCAAGCTCGCCCCCCGTGCCCTTAAGTGCGTCTACCTCGGGCACAATCGCGACTCCCCAGGCTACCTGTTCCTCCACCCTCCCACCAACCGCCTCATCCGCAGCATTGACGTCCGACGAGTCCATCCCCTACTACTCCACTCCTCCTCCTGACCCTCTCCCTCCTCCCTCTCGCCCCCTCGCCTGGACTGACACTGTCCTCCCACCTCTCCCCCCTCCCTCTCCTCTCCTCCCCCCCGTTGCCGCTCCACTCCCTCCGTCCTCCTCTGCTGACGTCTATGACCCCGCCGCACCCGCCTCCCCGGCCCACTCCGCTGCGCCCCCTCCCCCCTCTCCCTCCACCTCTCACTCCCCTCCCCCTCTGCAGCAGCCGGGCCAGCAGCAGCAGCAGCAGCGGCAACCGGGACAGCAGCAGGGCCAGCAGCAGCAGCAGCAGCCGCAGCAGCAGCAGCAGCCGCAGCAGCAGCAGCCGGGACAGCAGCAGGGACAGCAGCAGCAGCAGCAGCAGCCGCCGGGGCAGCAGCAGCAGCAGCCGGGTCAGCAGCAGCAGCGGCAGCAGCAGCAGCCGGGCCAGCAGCAGCAGCAGCAGCAGCAGCCGACTTCGCAGCAGGGGCAGCAGCAGCAGCAGCAGCCGGTCCAGCAACCGCAGCAGCAGCAGCAGCAGCGCCACCGAGCAACTTCCCGCTCCTCCCCTTTCCTCCTCCCTCGCATGCACACTCGCTCCCTTGACAAGGTCTTTGGAGCCCCTCCTCCCGCCTCCATTCAGCTCCTTGAGGACTCCCATGAGGAGTTCTTCGACATTGGGCACCACACTCCTTTCCTTGCCTCCATCTTTCATGACTTCCTTGGCCTTCCCGTCCTTGGCGCCACCTCCACCCCCACCATCTTCACTCCCTCCACCTTTAAAGAGGCCATCGCCTGCCCTGATGCG